AGACACACTGATAGGCCCCGGAGAATTGTTTTAGAAATATCATATTGATATTTTATTTGAGATTAGGCACGGGTCAGACGCTTAAATGTAGGGTTATGCATTATGTCTTAGACTGGAATCGCAATATGTTTCATGGAAATTTGAAATTTCTGTGATAACTTGCTTTGGAAAAGTTGTAACCTGTATTCCCCAGATTTGGGCAGACAAATATTCACGTCAGACAAAGAGATATATATATAAAAATGAATGCTTAAATCAATAAGAAAGAAAGTCTCGTCTAAATATGCCTGTATATGAAATGAGACATTCCACCTTTGTTTTGGAACTGAGCAGGTAAAGGCTGCATGTTCAGGGTTGGGGATGTTGTTTTGCCTTTTGATTTTTTCAGATTGGAAAAATCTAAATAATATTTAAGCCGAGTCCACTCCTGGGTTTGTCACGACAAAGTCCCATCCTCGCCACTCGGCTCTAGGCCTATTGTTATGATAATACTATTGTGAATTTCACGCTAGATGTGCAATCTGTCGATCGTCCATGTTTTAGAAGGTGAAAACTGCTTTTATTTGTAAGATCAAATATAATATGTCCGTGACTGTCCAAGCTGACCTCCAACTCATTTCAAAATTGTATCAATACAATTTCATTGATGGAATAAAGGCTACAGGGTTGCATGAAAAGCTCCCTTTAAAAAATATAGGAATATTATAGTATAACCACAGGAGGCAAAAAAAGGCTATAGCATTAACTGCAATAAGATTCACTATGGCGTGAAACAACCGCACAACAAGGCCATATCAGAATATGAATATTAATGATATTTCGTTATGTTGGTTCTGAGTGCACCAACATTTTGATTTTGGTTCGTCCTGCTTTGGTTTGACCATTTTCTTTCATTTGTGCAACTATAAATATTTAAGAATGCATGCATTGATGAATTAATGAAGTGCAAATGATGTGACCTACGTTTGTAGGACATCTAATAATTATTTTACGATTTGAAAACGTTTTAAGTGATCGTCTGTCTGGCACATGCCACCAAAGCAAAGACTGCAGGTTATCACAAACATAAATCAGGGACTGCTCAGTTGTCTTTATGTCTACATGGACATTTTCTGTTGTTGTTATGGCTGCAGTTAAGAACGGTGACAATTTTATGTCATTTTATGAGCAAAATACAATGACAGTGACGGGTGATACTTTAACGTCAAGTCCACTGTATTGTGTTTGTGTGTGTGTGTGTGTGTGTGTGTGTGTGTGTGTGTGTGTGTGTGTGTGTGTGTGTGTGTGTGACAGAAATAACAATATAGCCTATATTAGGAGCATCCGTGCTTTTAGGATTAAATAAAATTAAAAATTGGAGCTTAAGCAATATTGCTACCTGATGTTTACCTTTTTTATCCTACATGTATACGTGTTTTGAAACTCTTAATATATTTATAGCATTTCACATTTTTGTTTCTTTTATGTATGTAAAATAATCACCTGTAAACAGATGTGATGTTAGGGGGGGGGAAACGTGAAAAAAGAAAAAGATTAGGTTCTGATCATTTTGCTTTGATTTAAACAAATGTATGTGGCCTATTTGAATTTCATCATAACCAAATTGCCTTAAAGTTTACACTACAGTGCTGTGACGCAGTAATAAAATGTTTTCCAATGACCATTCCTGTTATTTGCATCACTGGTTGTTGATGTAAATTACCATTTGCATTTTAATTTGCAACTACATTTTATTGGCCCCATTTAAAACAATAAAAAAAAAAGGCAAGTGAATACACACACATTTAATGTCTACGTTTGTGTGTGGGGAATGTGTCATATACTGTATGTTTTTGGCTCACAGTTAATACACATATAAATGCACTTTCTTGTGAAAGACAATCCTCACATAGGTCACATTTTTCCAGAGTAGAATAGAATAATTTTCCTGTTTAGTGTAAATGCTCACCTCAAGAAAGTTCAGCACAGACATGAGAGGAGCTGCTCTCCTAGACTGGCACTGTGAGTTCATTTCCGTAGTGATAAAATTTTAATATTTTACTAATATTAAAGATCTCATGTGAATGAAAATTTACATTTACAATTTAAACTCTCTCTCTCTCTCTCGCATACACACTTGAACGTGCACAGGCCATACTGTAATATACACCATGCCATCCATGCCCTCAGGTGTATGCCAGGGGTTGTTGTTTTCGTTGTAATATATAGTTAGCCCTTCCACCAATTTACCCTGTCAGTGCTAATGGGGCAATTAACCACTGTGATACCCCCCAGGCAGAAGGGGAGCCAAAAGCTCCCCAACTCCAAACTTGTCTTTATGACATTTATATGACAAAATGTGGGGGAAGCTGGGGACCCATCTGACACCTTGGAGGGTCCTTAATGTCACTCCCTCCCTTGCCCCCGCCCCTTTCTGCCCCAGGGTATGGCACTGAGGAGGAAGTGTAATACATCATGAACTGGAGCGTCTCAGACCTCGCCCAGGAGAGAAAACTTTGTAGTGCATCCAAAGATTCAATGGGGCACTCTGACTTTACACACTGGGTCCAATTCTGCATGGTTATGACTGTGAAATGGCCTTACACACACACACACACACACACACACACACACACACACACACAAACACACACATACACACACAAACACACTTCAAGCTAACACACTCCAACTTGACCTCTCCCTTCATTTAAGCCTTTCTGGTGTCTGTAAGTCCCTCTATCTTTGTTTCCGCTCACATTCCCCCTGTCCTTCTTACGTCCCAAAGGAGGCAATAACCTCCCTAGCAAGTGCTTCCCCTTGAGCCGTTGTCATAGTAACTTGTGGGCTGGTCGACATGACAACCCCACCATGGTCCAGAGATAGATGATAGGCCAGAAATGGGGAGGGAGAAGGCACATGGGGGATTTGCACGCCCTTTAATTTGGTTTGCCTGATTCTGATTCAAAATACTATGTTTTTTCCCCCTCTCTGAGGGTGAGGTGCGGCCAGCATCAACCTGCTTTACATTTACACAGGTATTTACAGCCTGCAAACCCCGTCGCCGTCCGAGCAACTCCACTAAATTGTAACCTGCCTTGCTCTATGGCACCTGGATGGACATCTCAATATTCTCAATCTTGTTCCATAATTAGAATATTTTTTGTAATACTAGAAAATAAAATATTGTTATATTTTCCTATATCCATATATTTCTACAACAGACCATAAAAGTAGTGATTATTTTCTTCTAATGCAAATATAAATGGTTAGTCCAGAGAACCTGAGTGTTATCACACGTTGCCCTTTTTGGACACTAAATCCAGATTCTTCTATTTACTGTTGCCACAAAATCCATTAAGAGGAATGCCCAGGAGCAAAAAGATATTTACGTATTAAACCCCCGGCCTTCCCAAGACTCCATTTTCTAAATATGACAACAACACTGTACTGTCCCAGTACCAATTTATTAACTTTGTCAATTGACCACGAGTTAAACGGCAATGCAGGCTGTTAAACTAGCTTTCTGTGCAAGAGGACTCATTGCAGCTTCACAAACAGAAAGCAAAAATGTAAATTTGCCATAACATTTACTAACTGACGTACATGTGTTAAAGGCACTAGAGATAGTTGATAGTAGATGATAGTTGACCAAGTAGATTTGCATGAATTTCACTTATTTATTACATCTTCTATATATTACAACTGTCCTGTTTTTCAAAATGGGCCGGTAGGATGCGGCCCTTCAGAATGATGAATTCCAACCAGCTCCGGGGGTGCTGCCCCTCAGCTGACCCTGATCTCTGACCCCTGTGTGGAGGGGAGCACACAAAAAGAGATATTTCTTATAAGGATCAATAAGCATGATTATTAAATTAATGTTAAATACATATTATATTTCAAATATATATATATATTATGTATGCAATACATTATGTAAATAGGTGTGTAAGTTCAGTCAAGCATTTTAATGCCAAAAAATATAAAAACAAAATCATGACAACTGAATGATAAATGAGTTTAAAACATTTCACTCGTCATTCCTGAGGCTTGATGGTTGTATTAGTGAAGAATTCCCCAGTTTTAAACCTTGCTCACCTGAAACTGCATTTGAATATGTTTGATTTAAAATAAATATAAGGTTTGCCAAAATCCAATGGCATAAACAATATTCCCCAGCCCTTAATAAAACTGATGAAACCTCTATGAATCACAAAACATCTTTAGCTCGTAAATTAGTTGCCCACTAGATTCAGTTTTTAAATATTTTACTTGTGCTCATTGATAGAAATAATTTTGTAATGACAGACGTTGAGGTGGATTTTTACAATCGATGTGTGTCTATCAGGAATAGGTTTGTTGAGACACTGGCCTATACCTCAATGACATGTGACAGACCACAGTGAGCATGGACCACAGATTCACCTCAGTATAACTGCAGTCCAAAGAAAGCAAAACTGAAAAACTCATCTTTTAACTTGGATGGTACCATGAATGTTCATATGACTGAGCTACACAGTTTGGTTTTTGTTCATAATATTTCTCCTTATTGTGATTATGATTGAGTGGCATATCTTTCTGCCCATGTGTTTTTGTTTTTTTTGTTTTGTTTTTTTAGGGATATGTTTGATGTGCGTGTGCTTCTTTTCATTTTTGTTTCCTCTGCCTTTGACAGATGAATTTCCCCTTGGGGATCAATAAAGTGTATCGTCTCATTTCATCTCATCTCATCTCATCATTCCAGCTATGGCCTCCTGCAGGAGAACATTAATAACATTAATGTTAGATGTAGATGAGTGTGCCTACAGGTAGTCAATATCTAGATCCAGTCATACTCAACCATAAGTACAACGGATAGATAGATAGATAGATAGATAGACAGACAGACAGACAGACAGACAGACATGAAATGGCTCGGCAACTAAACACGTCTGTAAAACTGACCAACAGCGCCCCTCGGTGGTCGGGACCTGTAACTGAAAGCAGCCGGGCAGCGAGAAACCTGCAGGCGTCCTCTCGGGCACCGTACATTCGCGGAAGTTGTCTAAAACATTATGTAGGAACACATTTTGGCAGTTTTCTCTGGATAATATTTGCTGAAATTGACTTTTTATTTTCTATTATTCCCTTATCACTCCAGGACTTTGAATATGGAAGATGAATGGGAAGAGGAGGTATGAAATGATAAAACTACTGGACAACGGTATCAACATTAGCTTCATGTTGCTAACACGTTAGCTTACAAAGACTAATTGACAGCTAGTATAATTTCGGCATTTGATATTGTGTTAACACTAATTTCTCTTCTTTGCTATTTTGCCTGTTGAAATATCAAAATTAAAAGTTTTTATTGTAGAGAGTGCAGTCGTTGTGTATAATTCTATAATAAAAACTAATGCTGTACTTGTGTGTGTTTAGGAGCAGCTTGTTGTGGTGGAGCTCTCTGGTATAATCAACAACGACTTTCTCTCCAAATGTCGGGGCACTTGCAAGATACTGGTGAGTTGCAGGTTTTGTCGTGTTTGAGGGAAGGAAGAGAAAGCCTGGCCACTGCGTGACTCTGCTGTGCATTAACCTGGTTTTTCCATTTGTGTTCAAGGATATTGACAGTGAAAAGCCAATGATGCAGGTTGGACAATACGTTTTTGCAGGAGAATATGAAGGTAAGAATGGAAAAACATTCAGTCTACCTGTGTGCTCTCCTTCTCCTCATCTTAAAGCAGGTTGTCATTTGGAATCACGTCACTTTACACCACCTCAAAAGAGTTATTTTTTAACCTGAAATGCTGATCAGTGTTGCCAGTGATCAACTAATGTGGTTTCAATAAAGATGAATGTGTGCAAACTGCACCTTCAGAAATCTGATATTCATTTAACCAATAACATTACTAACATCTTGTTTTGCAGGAGATGGTACAGAAATAGTAGCATGTTGTTTTTTTAGAAGTGTTATTTCCAAATAAAAAGTACAAACTATTTTTCACCAGCACTAAAAGAGCCTCCATGAACTCCTAAACAAAATTGTACTTCCTCTCCTTCCCTCTTGAAAGATGCTTTGGGAACTTGTGTACTGTTCGAGGAGGGACCACAGAAAGGTGAGGCTCTGCTCCACACATTTTCAGTGTTTATTGTTGGGTTGCAGTGAGTTTGTTTGTCTCTTTAAAATGTTTCCTTTTGACATATGTCTTCAGGAAAAGCAGACAGCGACCAAGAGCTCAAGTACATGTGCCACACCATGAAGAAGCTGATGATGCAAAGAATCTTCCTCACTGAGAAAAAAGAGGGTGAAACTAGCACAGGTCAGCCAGAACAGCTAAAATCAACATGATGCAAAGTCTGTTGTGATCACTTTCTTCTAATATAGTTAATATTGCTTATGTTCTGTGACACACACTTTAATATATTGCTGCTTTTTAGAACTTGCCCTTTGTTATCTGCAGCTTGACAAAGAATTAACTTTTCTTAACACTGTTAAAAACTTGAATATGGGTTATTTGTGATGTCCCAGCAGGAAGTGGTGATGGTGATGAACAGAAGGACACAACCTGTCAGTCCAGTCAGGAGGAAAATGACAACCAACAGGGAGAGACAGAAGAAGAGATGGAAAACATGGATTTGGAAGACTCAGCAGTGGGTTGACAGGTGGAGGCTTTGCTACATCATGACCTTGCTGTGCACATGCTAAGACACCAGCATTTGTGAGGTTGTGGGGGACTCAGACTATTCAAAGACAGTTGGATTTACAGTTAATCAGTATAAAGGAGAGGTGTTACTATAACTATATGTCTTGCACATTGTGTCACATTCTTTTTCCAGGAACACATGTTATGCCTCATCTTCAATGAGCCTCAGAATCAAGATCATTTAATATTTAACATACAACTTAAACATGGTGAAATGACACCTAAATGGAAAACATGCTTTTACAATTCAAGATGTAAATCCATTCCCTTCAGAGCCATGTAGTAGGGGTCTTGGGACCAGCAGTTACAGACCTGTGGTGGGCATCCTCAGCTTAGTGGCAGGAAATGCTGTCATTGTGCCACTCTGACAACAAATAAACCAGCAGAGGGAGATAAACATAACTGCAACGATTAGTTGGTTAATTGATAATCTGTAAACTTCCGACATCATCTTGAGCCGTGTGAAATTATATTGGGCAGTTTTTACTGTATTGGCTGTTCAGTGCAGATTAATAGATCATCTTTAGTTGCAGCCCTAGACAGAAATATGCTTGAGCTGCAAGGTTATAATTGAGTGTGCTCAATAGACAAAGAGCCATTGAATGAGCCATACATTTAATGACATAAAGAGGGCTTCTTATTTTTCTGATTTGTAATAAGTTGATTTCATCAGAACTATTATAGCAACAGATTTACAGTGTTTTATTTGTTATATTAAATGGGCTCACTGAATACTTGGAATACTTTATTTCTTGAATGTGGGTTTTATTGTCCTTTTATTGTTTGTTTTGTTTAGTTTTTTGTGGATTTGCATTTCTGCTACACTCTTGTGGATAGACAATTTGTTTACAAGTTAAAAGTTTTTCTCACTCAGGCACAAATTCCTTCTATGTTTTTCAGAAGTATAAATTGATTAAATAAATAACATTGCAACTGTAGTTCATGTTGTTTGTCCCTTTTCATTTTAATGAGTGGTAAAAGTACTGGTTAGAGAGCAGCTTGTTTGACTCAGAGTCAATGTAGTGTCAGTTTTATGAATGAACGGGGTTTTGTTGACTTTGAGGACGTGGCGGTTCTCGGCCAATCCAATCACCGATGTTCCCTTGAAGTGGACCAATCAACGAGCGACATCGCACTCGCTTTCTCGGGGCTTGATTGGTCTGTTGATGTTTTAGCACAGGAAGTGTATGGGTGTGTTTCCGAGGGGAGGGTCTAAAGCTACAACGACGAACTTCCCTGAAGACGCCGGTGAGTTGTCCTGCAAAATTTTGGTTTAAAAATACAAAAAGTGACTCAAATATGTCTGTCTTATAGCTAATCTTTAGAAAGACGCAACATGAGTAATTAGGTAGTTGCCTGTCTATCTTTACTGGACGAGTGAAACAGCAGTTAAAACTAAGGTTAGCCAGTCTGTTAGTCGCTAACCTTGGGCTTGGATGGAAAAGCTGATATTTGGGAATAACTTTCTCAAAGCGTTGCTACTGACTCGTAATGTAAAGGCACTGGCAAGATTTAAGGTGTTGAGACGTGCAAAAGTGAGAGCACAGACAGGGTGATGTCACAGCAAAGTAGACAAGATAGCGGTTAACGTGTTTTAACAAGAGAAAGATAGTAAAATGGTACAAAATAATAATTTTTTTCCTCTGAATACTGCATTGCTGTTGCAATTACAGAAGCATAGACACATACATACAATGTCTTTTTTTTAAAAGAACTTTGGTTGCTGGCAGGTGATTTCTAAGTATTTTGTCTTTGAGTAAATGTAAATAGTTTGTCATTGTTTCAGCCCTGATTTGTTTGAAATAATTAGTTGAATATTTTCCTTTTTTATTTTGCATTTGCTAGTTCATTAGGTTGACCAAAGGCAAACTTATTCAGTCTGATACAACAGTCCTGCAATAAATCATGTCTTCATGAATGTTTCAATGTTGAGTTTGTGTAGAAAGGTTTTGTTTCCACTTTGGTCGTTTTGGAGGCTTTGTGGTGCTTTGAATTGTATTGTGCTGGGAGTTTGTATTATTGAGGGTAGACTACATATTAGAAACACATTTGAGTAAAACACAATACAATAGTTCAACAGTACCAGTGTCCACAATGACCAAAAACCTGAATCACCTCTCTTAAATAGCCCAAACTTAACCTGAACATTGCAATCTTCATGAAGGAAGGATTTATTGCAGGGCTGTTGTATCAGACTACATTTGTTTTATCTGTGTCCCTAATAAACTAACAGCTGATTGTAGTTTAAAATCTAGTATGATGAATTCAGAAAATTTCTAAATAGTTGTGTGTGAATGATTATATTACCGTTCTTTGAATTGCTGAGCTGGTTGTAATAAAATATATGGGATGCCAACTGCTAGAAAGTAACAGAAGTGAAACAAATGAAGGGATTGCATCAGCTGGAACAGATTAGCCTAACAATTCACCTCTCATAGCCGGAGTATTTGCTTGCACTGTGAGTCATACACTCCTAAACAGGCATGTGCAGAGTTGAGTAGGCCAAAGTCAAAAGCTGTGATTAGTGCTGACACAATCTGTCCGTATGCCAGTATTGAAGTGCAAGATAAACTTCGATATGCATGCAATACAAAGGTTTATACGAGAATGCAATGTATTTGTACAAGTAATAACCACAGTACTTCTTGTCCAGACAGTGCTTGCACATACGAAGGATGGAGTTGAGGCCACTTGTTATGTGCTTTGCTCTCTGTGTGGTTTACGCCACCAGCAAACCCACAGAGAAGAAGGACCGTGTTCACCACGATGAAACCCTCAGTAACCGAGAGCACGATGATGCGGAGAACTTTGACTATGACCATGAAGCATTTCTGGGACAGGAGGAGGCCAAGACCTTCGACCAGCTCACACCAGAGGAGAGCAAGGAGAGGCTCGGGTAATTTTACATGCCAGGACAGACTGTGTGAATCTGTTGAATTATTAGGGATATCTGAAGTCTGCAAATTCTTTTACAGCCATAATGGTAATAACTTTTCTAGTGGAATACATGTATTATAGTTTTTGCATTACTGTGGTAATGACCTTGTGTCACTTCAGAGGAACTGTACTGCTCCCTGAGGTGAAACAACACTAGATATTGTGAGGAAACATCCTGAATGTTTGAGATTTCTGTCATTTCTCTGCAGCATGTTGGTTGAACGTATAGATGAGGATAAGGATGGCTATGTGACAGTTGAGGAGATGAAGAAGTGGATCAAACACGCCCAGAAGAGATGGATCTACGATGATGTTGATCGACAGTGGAAGAGTCATGACCTCAACGGGGATGAAATGGTGTCCTGGGAGGAGTACAAGAACGCCACTTATGGATACATTCTTGGTATGAGTGCAGACAATTTTTATTTTATTCATTTCAATGTATCCCAATAGCATTGCCTGCATACTCGATGGACAAAGACACAAATGAGCTTTTCCACACTTGAGCACACACACACACACTATACAAAGCTGTGGCCTCTGACTTGCAGATGACCCTGACCCAGATGATGGCTTCAGCTACAGACAGATGATGGCTCGTGATGAGAGAAGATTCAAAATGGCCGATCAAGACAATGACATGAAAGCCAACAAGGAGGAGTTCACAGCTTTCCTTCACCCCGAGGAGTATGACCACATGAAGGACATTGTAGTGCTGGTGAGTCACAAACACACACACTCACAGGTGTTAAATGATGACACTAGCACTATCTTTTACGTCCCTTCTCACTGCCCAGTGTTCTTTCTTTTCTATAGGAAACAATGGAAGACATTGACAAGAATGGAGATGGTTTAATTGATCTGGATGAGTACATAGGTGAGTTGTCATAGTCTAGTGTCTTATGAGCATTATTAGTTTGTGCCACAGGATTTTGGGTTATTATTGGTGGCAAACCAAGACAGATGGAGAATACAAAGTTGAAAATACAAGAACAAATGAGCATATGTAAAAGTTTGAGGAACCCTGATGCAACATGCCTGTTGTGTAATGTGTTAGGCCACTACAAACATTAAAAATACTTGTACAAAGAATCATTGCAACATCAACACCCTCTCTTACTCAGTCTGCCCCTATCTTTTTTTTGTACTCTAGGTGACATGTACAACCAGGAGGGAGACTCTACAGAACCAGAGTGGGTGAAGACAGAGAGGGAGCAGTTCACTGAATTTAGAGACAAAAACAAAGATGGCAAGATGGACAAGGAGGAGACCAGAGACTGGATCCTGCCCAATGACTACGATCATGCTGAGGCTGAGGCCAAACATCTGGTCTATGAGTCAGATGCAGACAAAGTATGTACAGTAAAAGTTTCAAATGATTTCAAGTTTCAAAAGAAATGCACACTTATCATGAATTTTACTTCCTGTTTAATTCACGAAATATTTAAAGGAGGTGGAACTGCGCTTCTGAAAGCACACATGAATTTAGAAGCATGCTTATACATACACACGAGCGAATGTGTGCACTGCAGGGCCACAAAATACTCACTAAATGGTAGATTTGTTAGATACTGCAATGGCAATGTAAAGCGCAATGAATTAGGGAAACACAGAAAATTATGTATATCTAGATCAAGACAACCATTTTGCTTTTATCACCTCACTCAATATGTTTGCGTATCATCTGCAGTTGCTTCACAGTAAAGGCCAGCCAGTGGCACCTCTTGTCTTCCTGTGCTGGAAGAATTTGAGTATGCAGCAGGAAATTAGCCAGCAAATACCAGAAGTCACTTTAGTTTTGGGCTCTTTTCTGATACTTTTGTTAGTCAGTTTAAGAAACTGCAAAACAGGATCTGACTTAATTACAGCTCTAACCAAGCATAATAATTGCAAGACAGGCTTTCATCTCAGCTTTGCTGGTATTTCAGCCCTTTAGGACATGTTTATTGTGAAATTAAGATGAGAAACGACTGTTATTGTTCAGTGACACTAGTGCAAATCAAACAAGACATACCAAATACCTACAGTAGCATAACATTAAGTACATCTATATATGGGTAAGTTAAAAAAAAATCTGCGTATTGATGCAAATACAAGGCTTAACATGTTTGTTACTCTCCTTCCAACAGGATGGCCGTCTGACTAAGGCAGAAATCGTGGAGAAGTATGACCTGTTCGTGGGCAGCCAGGCGACCGACTTCGGAGAGGCCCTGACTCGACACGACGAGTTCTAACATCCACCTGCTTCCAAAGACTTTGTTCATCTTGTGTACCCCAGCTTACTCCTCTGACAGTAGATGGGAGTATTTCAAACAAGATGAGCTCCTCGCCTAATCCAACGCCACGGACAATAATTTATTTGATTTCTTGAATGTGTCCAGTTGTACACACACTAACATTTCAAGGAACATGTACACGCTTGGCCAGTGTGTCCTTATGCTCAGCTGTGTGTAAGATTGGGATATATCACCAGCCTTTGCTCTGCTTCACCCCCACTATCCATCTCTTTGTCCCCCGCAAGCGAAGGACAAATGGTGTTAGATGACACTTTTTTTTTTTGTTTGTTTGAAAGGATGTTTTTTACGAAATAGCCATGTTTTTGTTACGAAAACCTTGACAGAACAACAAGTTTAGGCTTACAGTATACAGAGTGGTTGGCCATAGCATTTCTTTTTGCAATGCACTGGACTGTGAAGAGTAAAGCTGTTTTCTAGCCATTAGAATGTGTGCTACTCCTCCATGTAATCGGGCCCCAAACTGAAAATGCTAGTTGCTGATTCACTTGAACTTTGTTTTCATGTCATTATTGATCATTTACTGCGTAGTATAGGATGTTTGGAACGAGGAGTACATATTAAATTCCAATGACAATGAAGACTATTTGAACTAGTGCAATACAGTATCATCAGTGGGACCATGCTGTGTTTGCTAAATTGGTCCCCAAAGCATCCATGTTGACACAAGCTGTGGGTCCTGTATAAGGACTGGTTGTGCTGTGTGTTAGTTGAAGGAATCAAGATGAATTTAGGAACTGTTGGATGCTTTGTCCTCGAAGCTGTCTCCTTCTTTCTCATCACCTCACCTGTGTGTGTGTGTGTGTGTGTGTGTGTGTGTGTGTGTGTGTGTGTGTGTGTGTGTGTGTGTCTGTTTGTCTGTCTGTGTGTGTGTCTGTGTGTGAGAGAGAGAGAGAATCTATGTGTGTACACAGTAGTTCTGATGACTGGTGCATCCTGTTGTTTGAGGCTACGTTTTGAGTTTTGTTTGATTCAGCTGAACTACTAACTCATTTTTGTGCCAAGCAAAAAATCTCTGTCCTTTTTTGTAAGCAGTTTGGAAAAAAATCCTTTCCCTTCATAAATATGTTTGTTATGCTTGTATTATCACTACCACCATTTATAACCACTGTTGATATTTTTTATGCTATACTGTATGTATATGACAATGTTTTTTTACAGGCTCACTGCAGCAACAAGCCTTTCACTAGTGACTTTACTGTAAATAAGTTGTTGGTCTGCAAACTGAGCACTCTAACAAGCAGGTCCAGTTTTTGTGATTGAGAGGAATGTCTCATTAAAAACAACAAAATAGGAGCCATTAGTCTGCTGTATTCTTTTAACTTGATGTGCTGGTTGTGAGGCATTCTTTACATGGCAGTTGCTATTACAAATATAATGGTGTTCTTCATACCTTGTAGCCAAGCTATTATTCTCAGAAGTTGTTTCTGTGGAAAGCTAGACATGCCAACATATTGGGTTTTTGTCACCTAAAATTACTTTTTTACATTTCTTACAAATATTTTAAAAAAAATTTTGAATGTGTTTTTTTTCCCAGGCTTCTGCCTCTTTAGGAAATGCTCTGTTTCCTGGTTTCCTTCAGGCCATTGACCCACTGATCTCTGCATTGTTGTGTCACTTTTTTTCCCTCACCATTGCTCTCAGGAGAGTACTTTGTTTCTCGAATCTGTCCTGAATAAATCAAACATTAACAATCTAAATCTACAGACACTCAAAAGTGTCACAGTTGAGTACATATATAATGCTTGTGGTCTATTCTTAAGGCATGTCACCGATACATACAGCATCAAGGAACTGAAGCTTGGGACTTTTTCTTTAACCAATTCACATCTCACTACGTGTCGCACTTATGTTACCTTTTGTTTCAATATACCCAGATAAAGTTTAATGTACAAGCAGCTTTCTGTTTGTAATTGCACATGTAGTCAAGCAGTTTAGGGCCTTACTCACCCTTATTCATCACCAAAACCCATCTGCAAATTGAAACTTTTGATCATCTCAACTTTCTTATCTTTCTCAAACAAAGATGGTGAACATGGTCACATACTAGCGTTACATTTGAGTAACAGAGTTAAGCATCTGTTTCTCAAAAAGATAAAATAAGAGATTTAAAAAAAAAAAAAATTGCCCACTGCTTGGCAAAAAAACTTGGGTTTTTTCAGACATCACCAGCTGTTTATCTTTGTGAAATGAAAGCTTAGTCTGTGTAGTTGAGGATCCTGCCATAGTTTTTGGGCAGAAATATCTTCACCCTATAACCATTTAGAATTTTATTCCTAATAATCATCATCTTAATCATCTGAATCAGCAGGTCAATCGCAGCACAGTTTCACTTGAATAACTTCTCATGGCTCAATGTTTCAGTCAAACAATAACTTTACTCATGTTCAAAGAAAAAACTGAGGCAGCTTGTAGAACAGGCATAATAAAACATTTAACGCTGCAGTACGCTATGTAAAAGTTTTGAACATACAGTACCCTGCAGCTATTGAAAGGGTAATTCTACACAGAACCACACAGCTGCTGGACGATTCTCAGTGAATTCAAATGGTCAAACATTCCATACTCTCGTGATGTCATAAAAGGTGTTTTACTATTGACAGCCACTGTGACATCACAGATTGGAATGTGTGGTCAGACATTCTGCCTTTATGGAATTTTAATTCCAGAGAGGAGCAGTATTCTGGGATTTCTTGTGGATTTGCCCTTTAAGAGAATACAATCTCATCATTTGTAAAATCAATGAGAATATATTTTGATTCATGACAAGTTGGTAAACTTGTGCAATTGTTACCGTGGCTGAATATGCTGTATTGTTGAAAAATGTATCATACTTTATACATAGTAATTGATTTTTTTTAACCATGCCTTGTGCATTCGAGGTCACTCATCCCTGTTTTCTATGAATGTAACAGCATAGTGTATTATAATTAATCAATATTAATGTGTGTTGTTAAGTGTTTTCATACAGTATACAGTGTGTGAACGTATGCATGTCTTTCCTTATGTGGCCCCTGTGCTGTGTATCTTAGTATTCTGTCCTCTCCCAAGTCTCAGCAGTACCTACAGCACAGCAGAACCAGACAGTAGCGTTTCTTTCTTGCTCCGCTGTCTGTCATCCATCTTCACCTTACCTCCTCCATGCGCTGTCATCCGTCCTTACTTACTAAATGTGATAAAAATGGGATTACAACGAGCCATCACTCTGAGCAGCTCTTCTTCATCTGGCTCTAACTCATCATCACTGTTCTTGTCTGCATCTTCATCGCCCAGAAAACCCTTGTCATCCTCATCCCCCACCTTGTGGCCGTCCTGGGTGTTTCCTGAGTTCATTGAGGGTCTTCTGTCCTGAGATGGACTACCTGCATCTGCACCTGGGTGTTCTGATTGGTCTGTTTGGTCCAGTGACGTGGAGGGTTGGTCTACCTCTGTGCTTAGAGTCATAGATGTTCGCTCTGGTGTGACTGGAGGTGTATCAAGGGGGGACGTATCTATATGTACCAGCTTGGCTTTTACAGGTGCATGCTCTGGGGTGGGTGGGGGGTTGCTCGTCTGCTCGGGGAGGGGGGAGGACAGTGAAGGTGAATGTGGGGGTGTCTTCACACGAGGTTTGCAGAAGGGTTTGTCTATTTCTGCTGAAGCAATTTGGGTGTCACTGCATGGAGCACTGGATTGAGAGGAGGGGCTGGTGGCAGGGTCAGCAGGGTCATCACTGGTGCCTGTTTGCGAAGTTTGTGAATCAGGACAGGTTAAAGGTGGAGTGCTAGTGCCATCATGGGTTTCAGGGTTAGGACTGGTGTTGCGTAGTGCCTCAGTAGGGTCCAGGGATGTAGCAGGTGCTGCGTCAAGGTTTTCTTTGGGAGATGCAGCATCTTGAGCCATGTGTGTCGGGCTTACATCCACGGTGGCTGGCTGAAAGGTGGGTGAACTAGAGGAGATTTTGGGTGGTGCAGAAACATTGTTACTGAAGACCACAGGGATGCACACACTTTCAGCGGGGATGAAGCTTATGTCGGGTGCAGCAGTTGTTTTAGGTGGAACGGGTCCTTGGAAGGAAGGGGGGTCTTGGTGGGTGTAGAGGCCAGGTTTCTCAGGGAAGCTGAAGGACGGATTGTAGGTTCCATACTCTTCATTGTTAAAGGGTACTTCGTCCATGTGTGACATGGCACTGCGGTGACTCACCTGAGGAGAGAGCACAGTCATTGAGTCAATATTTGTAAAACAGACTGTAAGGCCATGTTTTTCTTTTAACCATCAGTGGGGATGGTTGGGTAAGTGGAATGAGGGTTGTGGCTACAGCATGATGTAACACAGCTAAATGCTAATGTCAACATGTGCATATGCTTACTGTGACAATGCTAATATGGTGATGTTAAGCAGGTATAATGTTTACCATGTTCCCCATCTTACTTTATCATATTAGCATGCTGACATTTGTGAATTGTTAGTTAACGTCATTAGTCTTGCAGGCATTTCATCATAAACCAAAGTATTGGACAGATTACAATTTTGACCCCTATGACGTGCTAAAGGAAAAGTTAGGGGATCACCAAAGTTATAATTCATCTTGAGGGAAACATGGATGTGTGTGCAATGGCACTCTATCTATCCATTAGTTGTCTATACATTTTACTCAAAAGCCCCACATGTCAACGTCATGGCGGCACTACCTGAAAAGTCATCAAAGGATCTTCAAAGTCATTAGAATACATCATCATCTTTTTGTGCCAATCCATTCAGTGGAGGTCAAGAAGTGAAAGCTCTGACCTGCTAGAGGTGCTAGAGATAAAATCAGGGGATCGTCAAACTCAGTAGGATTAATCGATTCTTGGCACCAAATTTCATGGCAATTCATCTGATAGGTGTTGAGATATTTTAGTTTGAACCAAAGTGGTGGACTGGCTGTAACAACATTATTGCAAAGAAGACTGTCTAACCTTGAGGGACAATGCATTATTGAATTACTAAATTAATCAGTATCTGAATGAATGAATTACTGGATGTTACTTTCCAGATTTATGAAGTACCTTGCATCTTCAAATATAGACTATTAATTATTTTTAATAAAAATTAGGGAAGCTCACATTTATTAGCTCACTGGATCAAATCTATAACTATTCTACACCAAGTAATCATACAATGAATGGTTTATAAAATAGTAGTTTATAAAGGAATGGGACAGGAAATCAAGACAAAAGCAAAAAGGAGCTACAAGAGAATATAAATAACTCACCAGTTGGAACCACCGTAAACTCTGTGGGAATATATACAGTAGAGATTATTTCTGAACTTATTTATATTAACATCCTGCTAAATATGAACTGAAATTAGTCATAAATGATCTCACCACATTGGGGTGTTTGCCCTGGGCCACGCAGCCTCTCTGCAGTGGGTCCCTTTTTCCCTTGCGTTTCTTCTTTAGCCACATCACCACAGACAAGGTACATCCAAGCATAGTCATGAGTACCACGCTCAGGAACAACGCTTTGCCTACAGTACAGCTTATCAGACGTTCATCTCCCAGTGGACTATGAGGGACTGCAGTGTGCACAGACAGACATACATAGTTTTATATACTGAGTCTGCAGGCTCTGCAGCAATAGTGTATGTCAGCGTCTAAGTGTGTGTCCTTACTTGATTGTCCTTCAGATAACACCTCAACCACTACAGTAGTAAAGGTGGCATCACCTGACTCCTGGTCTATAGCCGTTACCTGCAAAGTATTTTGACTGTTTATCACATCATCTTTTTTATGTCTTTATTTATTATGAGATTTTGATGAAAAAAACAATGAGGTTGTGCAATACAGTGAAGTGGCTTCACCAAAAGTGTAGCACTCTATAAATATTCAGTAAAACAATATTTTTGTTGTTGCAACAGGACACTTGAAATGTTTTTTGCTAACTTAAATTGGGCATGCTTTGCATTTCTGCTGATCATTTTCCAAAACAGATACCAAGTTTTTATGTGGATTTACTTTTCAACCTTCCAGTTGCAGTTGTACAGAAACAGCTATTAATGGTTTTTCTTACTGCCTTTGTATAATTATACTATGGTTAATTATGTTGCTCTGTATGTCAAAAATACTGTGTATTATTACTTATAGGATGTTCTATTGTTTGCTCTTAATCACCTGATCAGCCTAATGATGGACTCACTATCTCAGTCAGCTTTCATGCAATGTAGGAAATAAATCTCAACACTTACAGTATTTAAATGAATGAAGAGAATGCCACATATATGCCAACATAATGTAAAGTTTACATGAAAACATGAAAAATCACCAATATGGCCCATTTTAATGCAAGGGATGAGGCTCACCTCTAGAGTGTGTTTCTGTTTTGGTTTGAGATGATCAGTCCTGGCGATCAAAAGTCCCTCATGTGTGAGTTGGTAGATGTCTGTGTAATTGGATGTAGGACTGAAGGTGAAGTAGAGCTTGGGGTTGACACCCTGTCAGTTTGTGGAGAAAAGGAAGTGGTAACAGAAAATTAAACAGATATGAAACTGCATTGATCATTTTGCAGCATGGTTGTACTGTATGTGTAGCAGCACATACATGGTTAAAATCCTTGTCTTGTACATGTAACATCAGTGCTCTGCTGCCATAGGTGTTGACCAGAGAGGCGGGGCTCTTTCCAGCAATTACAAAGCCATGATATTGAGCCTTATCAAACTGTGGACGAAAGTGGTTCACTGCCAGGACTCGGACCAACACTGTAGCAACAGAGTACTTCCTGGGGTCATCATCCTGGTATGCCTGGGTGAGAGACGCAGAGAGAGCAGGGAGAATGGTATTGTGAGTATGAAAGAAAAGTTGATATCTTTTAAATCTGCTGTTAAAATGTCTTACCATGACCTGAAGATGCAGCGCTGGAGTAGTGAGTCTGTCTCTCACCCCCCGAGTCAGTTTCACCTCCCCTGTCTCTTTATCCATCAGGAAACGGCCATTGTCGTCTCCTAGCATGAACACAAATGCAGTTACAGATGTATACATGGCAAAGCACAGCACATTTTAAATATTAACTTGCATCATTATGCGTGGTACCTGAGAGAATGGAATAACTGAGTGGAGAGCTGAGTCCTCTGTCTCCATCCACTGCATGAATGGGACCAGGAGAGAAGTCCAGCACAATGTCCTGCAAAGTGACACACATTTGGTGCTTTACCAATCAGATGCTCAAAGCAATGCACCTTATTGTAACAGTAAATGTTAAGACCGTGGCCAGAACTATAGTTTTGACAGAAACTGAATTCCGGATGATCTCAGAGGGTTTTCAGAATGTGAGTTAGAACTTATAATGAAATTACACAATGTCAAAGTCAGTATGAATGCTGTATTATGTCAAATCACAAATACGGCAGTAAATCTGCAATTTACAAGTCTAGATATAACATAGCCACATCACAGGTGTGCCTAAGAATCGTTCCAGTTCAGTATTGTTGGCAAGTAACACCTGTGTTGATGGGATATTTACATTTTCAGTTAAGTTAAATACCCATAAAACCTATTACAAACCAATTGTATTATCACAAAAATGCATATTTGATATGGAAAACAGAACTCAGGATAATATATGGACATCCTACAGTATATATAACACTGGTAATATGCATGTGGTGGGACTGGGGGAGGGTTTAACCACTGACCTCTTCCCCCTCTGTGACATTGACTGTGTACACGGGGCTGATGCAGATGCGACTGGTCTCATCTTGGAGAAGCAGCATGCAGGGCAGGAACTGTGGGTACTGGTCATCTCCATCCAGGATGGTGATGGTGATGTTGGTGCTAGTGTTGAAGCGCTCAGCAGTGCTCATTTCCTGAGATAATGACAAGTCAAGTTTTCTTTAGAGGATATCACACTGGTCAAGCATGTTTGATGGAGAAATGGATGGATACATGAACTGACATATAGTTGAAATGATGATGAAATCATGACTTAAGGATGGATGATAGAAGAGGAATTTAATTGCTTAGATAAATGTATGTCAAAAAAGGAAATGTGTGCAGCGTACCGAGGCATAGATAGTGACAGTAAGCTGAGTTTTGGTCTCATAGTCTAGAGGCTTGCCCAGGATCACCTCTCCACTGTTTGGGAGCTCAACCTTGAAGTACTCTGCATCAGGCTGCAGAACACACACAACAACATAAACAGTAATGCAGTGACTGTGTGTACAGTACGTGCACTGTTAAGAGTGTAAAGAGTATAGGAGAAAAACTCACTGATGTCTGGTCAATGGAGTAAATGATCTTGTCGTTATCTGCATCTGTAGCCTGGACAGTAAAGACCACAGTATTCACTGGAGTCAGCTGGAAATCAACACAAACAGACAGGCAGACAGGAAGCACTTCAGACAGTAGTAGTAATACTTCAATCTTGTATTTTTTCTGTATGCATGCGCAGGTTTGTGCACATGTGTTTGTGAAAGTGTCATACCTCACTGATAATAAGAGAGTGGACAGTGTTTTCTGCAAACACAGGTGAGTTATCATTCTCATTAATAATCTCCACCATGATCCTGTAGACACTCTACAACAACAGCAAGAAAAAAAAAACATATAAAGGTTTGGATATGGGATTACACATTGAGGAATTATGAGTAAAATGATGGGATGAAATGTACCTGGAGTGTGTCCTCCTCATAACATGACAACTCAGCCATTAGGACAGGGCCCTGGGCCTGAGAGGCACAGAAAACATGAAAAGATACGATAAAATATTTTAACACAAGTACTGTAATCACATACTCACATACTGATTTATTAAAATCCCTTTAACCAAACCAGGCTAGTGCCAAGACACTGACACAGAAAAACTCTTAATTTCTGTAGCACCTGTGACAAAATAAAGGTATAAATTATATTTTATTTTCTCTGAGGGTGGGATGAGAATCCTGAAAACCTAAGAAATGAAAGTGAAAGTAAAAAAATGTTTTAATTAAGAGACAAATCAGAGTGAGAAATTGAGTAATTTCAGTTATAAACTATGACTTTAATGTAATATATGGGATATCATAGTGTAAAGGCCGTTATGGATGGTAAAAAGTGTCGCGAGAGTACAGATACCAAATTCCTGATTTCTGTTGATTGATTGGGTTAGACAGATGTCACCTGTGGTGATTGGCAGGGGGTGCGGAAGCAGAGGTCAGAGGGGGAAGGCATGACATGCAACCAAGAAAAGAAAAGGGTGCCAGTGTCGTTAGACCAACGTCAAGTGAATGTTTTTGTAAACCTGGAGAAACCGTTGCTAAACTCGACTGCACGTTTCCTCATTAAAAAAGTTTATTGGGGCGAGTGTTTGTGCAGGTGTGTTTTGGGGTAACGTTAGCCAAAAAGTGAACTGCATATCAGAGGACCGCGTGCCGGACGAGAAGGACCAGGTGCACCTGAGATTCACCGCTGCTGTTGCCTGGTGTTCTTCATGGCCGTCCGCAGAGGAGAGGATTCTCCAGCTGAACTGTGAGTTTTACCTGATTCTATCTGCCGCACCGCAGGCCTGCAACGGTTTTTGATTTTTAGATATTTTGTACTATTTTTTTTTTTTAAAGTCAATTGAGAGTGGTATATTTGGCTAAGTAATTTTCTTGTTTATTATTGTAAATATACTTTTGGTTTAATTTTTAGAGCACTGTTTATTTAGGCTACTGTTTATTTATTTTAAAGGGGTTTAATTTGTGTTATTTTTTGTATTTAAATGTTTAAAGGGCAAATATTTGTTATGTTGCCAAACTTTAAGTAAATATCCTTTTGCCTTTTTATGAAGTTGTCTGGGGTCAGTTAATCTAAATACCAGAAGTTTATAAGCCCAAGAGGGGCTGCACAGTTTTTTTGGTTTTCGTAGAGTACTATTAGAGCACTCAATACAGGTAAACCTTCAGGGTAGCTACCTTAATACAAAACGGACCCAAAAACCACCCCATCAGTTAGCCTGCAGCATCCGAGACATATTGAAGAGCAATGGGGTGCTACGTTTCTAATGCTTAATTATATCCTAAAAGAACATGAAATTAATATTGTTTCAATCTATTTCAAAAAATAAACTCAGGTTTCATGAATTTCATGAACTTGTTTCATATTTGTTGGGCACTCTCACATTGGCCTACTCTCAAATTGTTTAATTTGTTTACCCGCATTTACCTAACTTAATGTCATATAAGTGTACTGTATAATTGTATGCAATATTAAATTTCTATCACTATTTCTAGTGTTCTCTACTATTATATGTAAACCAAACAATATAAAAGGCATTAGAGCACAAAACACACTTTATGTATTTATCACTCTTTGGTTACAACATAGAAAATGCACATCCCAATATTTTATCAAGTGCATTGAGAAGAAAGTAAGATTTTGAGAGGGAGGCAGCCACACACTAAACAGATGCTCTCATTGTGTTGAACAAAGCATGGAGCTTCTTGGACACTTGATAAGTATACTTGATAAAGATGAAAGGTTGAAACTTTGTAGCAAGTCTGAATGTTGTTAGTCTAAAAAATTTTCAAAGATGGAGTGACAGAATTAGATAGACTGGGAGACAGAGAGAGAGACTGCTAATCTGGTTGACCCTTTAACAGCTGCCATGATGTAAGACAGCTGGCTGGCAAGAGGATGACGGTAAGAGAGATTGTGTTCGGTCCAAGGACGAGGTTATGAGGTTCAATCTCTGATTGTTTGTTCTAAACTTAGATAGGCCTCCAACTTCCTCATTGCTGCCCCACACTATAACAAGAGTTCCTACAGACTCAAAGAAATGGGATTTTGCACACAAAATCCATAACCCTTGAATTATGTTCCTGGCTTCCTGATTATAAGAAAGCTCCAACATAAAGATCAGCATGTTTCAGGGGATATATCCTGAGAAATTACCTCTCGGTCAAGAACCTTGTCATCTGATGAGTTCAGACGGATGTGTCTTTCATCCAAGAAGAACCAATCAGCATCCTTTCCATCCAGGATCCATTGTACCTCCTCCATTGTGGTGTCAGCCATGAGCTCTGCAACAATTTCTCCCGAAAGGCTGTTTTCTCTTATTGTCGCAAATACATCCTGACCTTCCAGACATCCACCCCACCCTGACATTCCTGTGTAAAAGTACACACAGATGCATATGCAAAGGGTTGGAAACCCATTCATTTTGGCAAAGAGACAAACTCTAATAGGAACAAATGTAAAATAGTTCTACCTGTGGCTGTGTGCAGACATAGGAGGACCAGCAGTGAGCAGACTAGAGCCTTGGCCTGACACAGAGTCCATTTCAGTTCAGTGAGGGCCATTCCTGGGCTCGGTCAGGCCTCAGGAACTAGTTCTGTCTGAGTGAAGAGAGAGAAAACGAGCAAATACTATTAACTAAACAGGGTTATCCTTTCATCTTCTACAGTAAAAAATTAGTGGGTTAGAGTGGGCTTTACTCTGTGCCTTGATGGCAGCATGTCTTAAGAATCATCATTCGGTTAAGACCCTCTCCTAATGTACAAATACACCCATAATTCTTTTTTAATCCCCTCTACATGGGTTTCTGCCTTGCTTTCCCCTGTCTGACAGAGCTCGACCAGTAGATTAGTAGCCTACTGTCATTCCTCTCTTCATGTTTCTCTGACTTGGTTGCTCTTTTTACCTCTACCTGTCAAGTTCTGCAGACAAGTGCTATCCCGACTGTAGACTCGCTTGTTAATCTGTTAAGACTGACAATACTTAGTATAGACCCTCCGACTTATACACTTCCTGTTGCCGTGGCTTTCTAAAGGTTGAATCTGTTGAGAAACGTGACTATTTCTTGACCACAAAATTGAGTACGTGTCTATCATGCTTTTCCGAGTCTCTGGGTGCACTGGTGTGTATGTGTGTGTTTGTGGGAATGTGTATTTGAGTGTAGAGGGGGTGGCGTGGTCAGACACAGCAGGATCTGGGGTCACTTCTTACTAAAACGATAACTGTGATGCTAATGCAAGGTAAACGAACACATATATTCTTTCTGTTACTGACTCAACTGAATCTGTGTTATCATCAATGTGAACGCATAGACCATCTATCCGGTTGTTCAGCTGACTGACCTGTTGTTGTCAAATCCTCTGCAGCACGTCTGTCAGTCTCCATATCCTCCTGACTTGTGATGGAAGCAGCATCTCTGATTCTCAAACAAAAAACCACCGAAAAAAAAAAAAAAGCCACGCTGAAGCTTTTAGGAATAAACAAAGTGACAACAACAACAGATAACACCGGCCTCACACACCCACACACAATAACGCACACATTGACCCCCCTCCCCATACACATTAAAAAGCAGACAGCAGCTTATGGTGTGTATCCTGGGATAAACGTCAGCTCAGAGGCTAAAGCCCGGGGGTGGGGCTTACCTGGTCAGGAACAAAGACTGAGCCAATCAGATTAGAGATGGCAAGAACCTGGCGGTGAGGTGAGAGACTGGGGTCACAAGTGAATTTAAGAGATTTGTCTGGTACAAAGACACTTGACCTTCATAAACATTTTGTCATGCAAGCGAAGCTCAACAGTCAGAGTGTCCAGTCAGGTCTTGTTCAAGCTGCAGTTTCTGTGTTACAGAGCATAAACAGAAATGTCATTTTGTTTAGTGAATTACGTCTTGGCAGCTTGTATCATACTTTAAATGCACATGTATATTTCGGGTTATCATAAAGAGTCTGAGCATGTACTTTAGCTACACAGCTTGCGCCTGTTGGATTTGCTCAATTAGCAATGTGTGACAACTAATGGGGCCTGACAAGGGATTAGCTATCAAACATCGGCTGTTCACCTTCTGAAGATTAACCCACATCCTTTTACACACTTGTCCCAGCATGCACAGGCACATACACACACACATACACACAAACACACAAGGACACACTTAGAGGAGTGTGTCTCCACATATCTTTAGGGCTCCTGTGATGAAAGAAATTGTCTGGCTCCATGAGAAATGTTTTGGTTAGTGCAGACGTGAGTGGGTTCCATTGTCAAAGAAAAGCCGGGGGGGCTCAGAAGACTTTAAACACTAAAGTGTGCCTCAGGAAAATAAAGGTAGAACACTGTTCAGTCTGTGTCCCAGAGAGAGAGAGAGAGAGAGAGTGCAGAGGACAAGCATTCCTCAGAGTATAGAGATGTTTAAAGATGGTATTTCAAGATGCACCAACAATATTGAGCTGAGACACAGACACTGTCCTGTACTTCGGTTTATTTTTTTGTTGTTGTTATTACTTTGCCATAATACACTACAGTTAACAATGTTGGACAAGATTAATCTCACCACCAGGCTCACAGACATGGTTGTTTGTATCTTTCTGCTGTGATTGGACATGACCACTGGATGTCAGCAGAGAGGTTGTTAAAAAAAGATGAGTTTGATAGATAACAGCTGGCTTTGACAACTACATCATCTGAACATCTGTTACTTTTTCCAGAATGTGTGTATTTCTTTTTTTTCTTGTAATGATGTTACTTGACATGACTATCAATAAAAACTGGGGCGAACATTTCTTTAAGACTGTTGATTCAAATATATATGTAGAAGCTGTTTGGAGTATAACTCAAACTTTATACTCACACATGAAACATTTAGACATACATATTTAAGCAGATGAAATGGAAGTGTGTTTTGTTTCCTTAGTGCAATAATGTGTGTATATGTAAACATTTCATGGGCAGAGCGCAGTTTGCATGGTGCAATAAATAATGAAATGTTATATGAAGTATTAAGATACTTTGTAAATGTAGTCTGCTGACTACTTTTGCACATCTACCAAACACAGGCCTGGCATACCATTAATCTGCTTCTACACAAGAGAAAAGACTGCACACAACGTGGGAATGAAAGCAGCTGCTTGTTCCCATCAGTCTTCCTCCCGTAGGCATTTCTGATTTTGAAGATTTTTGAGTAAATGACTGCTATCATTAAGTTCAATTCTGCATCAAAAACTGAATTGCTTCACGTATCTAGTTTCTGCGACTTTATCAAAGTCATAAATCTGTCGTCTCAGCCTGGAAGTGCGATGCCGCCCAGAGGGACTGGGTGTATGTTGAAAAAACCACCAAGGCAAAGAGAGCAAGTCCTGTGGAGAAACGTTTCAAATGTAAACATAATAATCACAATTACAGCCGCACACCAAACAGGATGAGGTTTTTTTTTGTTTGGACACTGTGGTGTGGTTGGACAGACGGTGGGAAGACTTTAAAATGAAATCTGGTATTTGAATGTGTGTCTCATTCTACTTTAAGTGTGTTGCAGGAGCCTACTTCAACAGTTAGAAAACCAAGACTCTCAAGTCTGCTTTATCCATCAGGAACACCTGGGTGTCATCACACCAAAAGCAATCCAACAAGACAGAGAGACACGTCTGTCTTTCTGTGTAGCAAATCTCAGAAGTATTGCTTATGAGGGTGGACTATGGAAACACAGCAGAGATGAGCAGGACAACAACATGAGGGAAAAATCTAGTGTTGTGGGGAGGCAGAACAGTGGGTTTCACACTGGGACTGTGTCCAAAGCTGTGAAACATGACTACTTGTGTTTACCCCCGCCCGCTCTCTCTCGCTCTCTCTCTTCCTGTGCACATACATACACACACAACACATACACTTTTGGCTGCTTCAGCATGGCTCCTCTCCAGTGTCCAGACCAGGTTTTAGCTTTGGGACTCAACACCGCTGAGCAGTGCTGGGTGGTGAGTTTTTTTTTTTTTTCCTGACAAAAAGAGGGAAAATAGGGGAAGAAAAAACTCTACTTACAGCTATCCTTCTGGGACTGGAGATAAGAGCCGGTGACCGCACGCGCACTGCACACCTGAACAGCCTTTTTCTTCTTCTTTTTTTTTCTCACTCATCAGAAACCGAAAATGTTTTCGAATGAATCATCAAACTTTCAAGACTATCCACCTTTTTAATCATGGAGTGATAGTGTGGTGGAGATATGGCCCCAGGGGGGGAATGTAAGTGTGTGACTGCAGAGAAGTGACGCCCTGCCCGCATCCAGATGTTCCATGTTTCCCTTTGCGCGCTCTGTGGAGAGATCTGCTCAGAACAGGGAAATCTTTGAACGCACGCTCCATCGTCCATGGCACCAGGCTGCTTTAAAAGGACAATGAATATCATGCTTTTTGTGTAAGGTGTTTGGATTTTTGTATAGTTTTTTTTGTCTGGACAATGGACAGCGACAAACTGAAGACGCTCATGCTGCTGGGGATACATTTGCTCTGGGTTTTTGCGCTGTCTGTGCGCGGGCACGCTGCTTCAAATCACGAGAATGGTGAGTTTCCAAAAGTGTCCAACTTTTTGTGCATTAAAATTTTATTTATGTAGCTACTTATTTTTATGTAATGTGGAAAGCATGTTTATGTTGCTTGTTAAAAGCAGTAGCACAACAATGTTAAGCACTCAATAAGCCGTGTCAGTCATGCATTCAAAGTTATACTTAAGTGAAAGTGCAGAAGTATTATCAGCAAAATGTACATCAGGAGCATAAAAACTCATTGTGTAGCTTTATAGTGTAATTTATTCCATATCATTGGATTATTATAACTGGAAGATTCACTTGTAAGCAGTATTTTAATGTAATTGGTTAGAAACCAAATAATTTTTTAACTGCCTTATACTGCCATATTTTAATTAGTCACAGTGCATCATTTTATATGGTGATCATATGTTTTCAGTAAAATTTGCAAAAAAAAGTGTACTTGCCAGATAAATCTAAAACATACTTAAGAAACTTCAAGTACTTCAGGGGTAAATGTGCTTAGTCACTATACTTTCTGTCACTGTGGGTTGCTATAAATGTATGGCCCAAACCAAATCAAACTTTAATCTTAAGTTTAGGTTCAACTGTGATGAACAATGTTTAGGTTTAAAGAGCTGTATCACATGCTGTATTGCGTCCACTGAGAGGCAGACAGATCAGACTAACTATATCACAGTGGCCTGTTGGCGCTGTGTTCGAGGTCAGTGAAGCAGCCATGTGTGACCGCCTGATGAATGGCTTCATTCTGATTCCCTCTCACACAGATCCACACATCACAACCCAGAAACCGCAGTGTCATCCTCTATTAGACAGAGCATGACCTCATGCAGTATGGATGTGTCTGTCACAAGTCTGACTCTCTTGTTTTATCTCCTCCCCAGTGATTGACCTTCTGGCAGCTCTAAACATGTCCAACCACAGTAGTGGCGTGGCCAGAATGCAAAGTCCCGGCAGCGTGATATACAGAATACGCCCCAGAGCACCTTACCTGACCCTTCCTCCAGAATATTCCCAGTTCCTGTCCTCCAACTTTCAGGGTAGCATGGGGGTGTATTTCGTGGGTCATCAGTCATCGGGCTCCAGTGCCACTCTTTTTTCTCTCTCCTCTCTGTCCTCACCCATTCTCCAAATCATCTCCTCCACCCTCAATAACACTCTGCATTTGGACTACCAGGCTGGAGGAGGAGCTCAGGGCCTTGCCAGCTTTCACTTCCCTTGGAGGAACCCCTTCTCCAGGGATGAATGGGTCCAACTGGCTGTTAGCCTGGAGCCTGACAGACTGGTATTTTTTGTAGACTGTCAAGAAGCTGTTGTTGTGCCCATGAAAAGTGAAGAGAGGATCTACCTGGAATTGCCTCAAAATGTTGTCATCACTCTTGCCAGCACTCCACGAAGGAAAGCCAGCAAATTTAATGTGAGTTTCTTATACATACTGCTTAACTATGCATACTGACATTTGAACAACATGAGACCTCTCTTTACTGATTTATTTTTTATTTACAGTCACTGCTCTGTCCATGAAACACTCTTTTAGGAAATAAATATATAATGTATATGACATATACTGTATACACTAATGTATAGGATGTCAAATTTGCATTTAGTGAATCTGTACAGTTTATTTTCTTCCTCTTTTTAATGTGCATTCTGCACAGCATGTACAGTACAATACAGCTTGTGAGCATGTCTGTTTCTTTATGAATGCAGGGACATTTGAAGACGGCTGAGATTTCAATGAAAGCATATCTAAGGCGACCATGGCACTGTGACAATGTTACAGGTAAAGAAACATTTCTATCTATCATATCAAACCTGGGTTTAAATCAGTTTCTATGTTTGGGAATATTCCCCACCATCTCACTTTTAATGTTAATATTGCAAAGTTAACTGGGGAGTTGTAATTACAAGGAAGTTATGTTTTCACCCAAGTCTATTCCATTGTCAGCAGGATTCAAAAATTTGCGTCAAACGTGGGGGATAGGTGGGCTATGGGCCAGAGAAGAGCCCATTAAATTCTGGGGCAGATCTGGATTATTTACTTTGAATTTGAATACTTGTCTCTGAAGTCTGGTGTAGTTGTTTGTTGTCTGACATTGGCCTTGGCGGAGGTTTGCACTCTCTGAATGCCCCTCTCGGTTTTCTGTTTTTCTGGTGAGCATGTCCATACAAGTACATCTCTGTATCCATTTCTGACAGCATGTTGTGTGGTTTTGCCATGTGGCGAGAATTTACAGTGCCCCAGAGGTTTTAGTGTCATCCCCTTCTCATTTCCTTTTGCTTCATTCGTTCTCTCTACTGACCCTGATAATTTATTATGTTCTGAATTTCCTTCTGCTGGGAGAGATGACAAGAATTTTTGTCAGAGATGAGCTCTCTTGTCAGTTATATGAACTAGTAAAACACTGATAAAACTTTATTTTGCAACTTATTTTGTCTGGAATCCTGAACAGTGAGACACTCCTCTCATTCTCGCAACTCAGCACTAGGACCACCGTGGTTGACGTTCATTAGATTATATCTTTTGGCAGAAAGTCTCCCAAACAGTTTGTTTATTATTCCTCCTTGTGGGTCTTAATTTTGACTTTGTTTTCCAGGATGTTTGTTTAGGCTTAGGATTTGTTCTTTTCTTCATTGAAGAATTCTTCAGGAATCTCTTGCTCCTTCATCTCCTTCACAGATGCTCTGCCTCCATCTCAGCACACAGACACCCAGAGCTCAGATTCTTGGACTGACAGCAGTCGAACATCGCTGCAGGGTGCTTCCCATAGTAAACTTCAAACAAGCCACAGGCCAGTGGAGAAAAAAAACAGCCGTTATCCCCTAGACATCCAGAGTGACCAGCTGCAGAGAGGTGTTGTCCTGGGGCCTCCAGGATCTCCTCAAGGGGTAAAGTCTGTTTCTCAGGCCCAGAGAGATGACAGGCTGAAGAAGCTTGAGAAAAGGATGGAGGAGCTTGCTCATATGCTGGACATGGTCAAAGCTCAGGTAGTATTTCACATAGAATATGCAACTTTTCATGAAAAATGATATGATGTAACACAACATGACATATTCGGATTTTATAGATTTTATGGTTTTCTAACAGAATGTAGACCTACAATCACGTGTAAAGTACCTGGAGGGATGTGAGTGCGTGAGGCAACAATGTGAATGGGAGGGACGTGAAGTGGACAATGGCCAGCACTGGCAAATTGACCTCAGCACTGTTTGTACTTGCACATCTGGAAAGGTCTCATGCCAACCCAACATCAGAGGTAAAGATGACTCAGCTTCTATCTGTTTGTCAAGTCTCTCTCTCAGTGTTGCCATTTTCATCTATTTTCACTCTATCCCTTTCTTTGTCACACACACATACAAAAACACATGAAATCTGTCCATGATTTTGGCACTCTCTCAGCAACCTAACACTAACAGACATTCAACTGGTCTTAAGTAGCTAGTTTGCAGATGGCCGTCCCTCCCCCAGATCCCTGTTTGTCTAGTCCCTGTCAAAATGGAGGCGTATGTTTCGTCTTGACCTCTGACCCTGAGGGGTTTCACTGCTCCTGTCCCCCCGACACCAAGGGACCAGTGTGTCACAGACAGCTGAGACAGGTATTTTTGAGCCAGATTAGAGTAGATTTAAAATGTGTTACAAAATGACAAAATGTCCATGTTGGCGTCAAAACTTTGTGGTCAGTGTTGTGAAAGGCTTTTTCAGTCAGGCTAGCAGCAGCTCAAGGGATGTCCAGACTGGTGGTGTTGGTCCAAACTGAAATATTTCAGCAACTATTGGATGGATTGCCATGAAACCTTTTATCATTCATTTAACTTTTTATCTAGCACCATCATCAGATCAAAATTTCAATTCATCCAGTATTTTGGTTTATGACTATATACTTGGTAAACCAATGACACTCCCATCAGCCTTAGATGTATTTTGTGTTTAGTGCTAATCAACAAATGTTAGCATGCTAGAATGCTTAATAGTATGTATCAGTATGTTAGCATTGTTATTGTGAGCATGCTAGCATGCTGACATTAGCATGTTGGCACAAGCACCACTGTGCCCAAGTACAGCCTCACAGAGCTGCTAGCCTGGCTGTAGTGTCTTGTTGAATGTGTGTATTTATGTACTTTCCCAGTTGCATCGACTCTAGGTGTTTCATTTGTTTTGGTTTTGAAGATCTACTTATTGTATGTTTGGTTACCCGGCAGGTCTCCAGAACTTTTCAAATGCTTGAGGTGGGTCACAATCACAAATGAAAACTGAGGTTTGACACCCCCTTCTGTTAAGTGTTGTGTTACTGTAGTTTTCTTGTAGTTTCTTATAGTTTTAGTGTTTTCTTTTTAGTCATTTGTTTGCATTTTGCTTCTGTACATTACTGTTCTATATTTACAAGCCTCTGTCGGGCTACCATGGTACAAAGGAACAGTCAGACATTTTGGGAAATGCACTTATTTGCAAGTTAGATAAAAAAGATCGATATGATGGTAAGCTGATATTTTTAGATTTGGGAACTGAGCAAGGCTAGCTGTTTCCAATTGATTCTGATCTTTGTGCTAAACTAATTTCATGTCTCCTGGCTGTAGCTCCATATTTAACGTACAGATTATTATCACTCTTCTCATGTACCTCTCAGCAAAAAAGTGAATGCATGTATTTCTCAAAATGTCAAACTACACCTTCAATATAACTGAAATAGTTCGTAGATCACTCTTGTGATTGTCTGTTTTCATGGTTTAGCTTTGGCCTGCTGCATTGGGTGAGCCCAATAGCAGTGCTTTGTTTTACTTTTGTCCTTTGTCAGTTCTGGCTATGGGCATTGCAGTGGGGTTTAAGGCTGGGTAAGAGGCCCTGTGTCCCCCCTCCCCACTTCTAGGCATGTTTGGTCCCAAAGCCAGAGAACAACTGTGAAGGAGCATGGCCATTTCAACACCGCTGGGCCTTTAACCCTACCTCTGGCCTCTGTGAGGACTTCCTCTACTGCACTGGAAACAGCAGCAACAACTTCCCTTCCTTTAATGCCTGTAGGGACCAGTGCATGTTGGGAGCTTGCTGCCTCCGCAAATCAAGGCAGGGTCTTCCTGCAAGCCAGCAGCATTATGCTCAACGTGGATACAACATCTCTGTGAATAGGACTCTCTGGGGATACAAGCTGTATAATCTGGAGGATGAAATGTCGTATAGCAATAAAGACTTCAACCATACTGAACTGGAAGATCTGAAAGGAAACCGTAGAGGCATTGACTGCTGCAAAGATCTGGATTTCACTTATACGTGTGATTACCTCACTTTAACACAGTGCCAAGCTCTGGTGAAGGACCAAGCTGGAGAGACACAAGCAGTGAGCTTTTCTCCCGGAATGAACTGCTCTGACATGAGATGTAGTGGAGGTTGTGGGTGCTTCACTGAACACGCACTCTGGAAATACGAGGAAAGGTTCAGGCAAGGCTGTGAAGAGTGCATATGCACAGGGAGTGACAGGGCTGACTGTGTGTGCAGACACCTGACCCAGCGAAAAGAGATTAGAGACCTCACACTGAGAGAGAGGAGGTTGTACCAGCGAGCTATCAGGAAACTCTACACCAGGTCAGGTAAGACTGTGAATCTAAATGTTATTCTTCCTTACCTTTTTAAAATTCAATGTCTACCTTACTATGGGTTTACTTGTGTGTTTATATTTGTCTTTTTGTGGATTTAGATGCATGGAAGGGTTTTGCGCTACTGAGAGCCGAGTTCTCCCCTCAGGCCGGTAATCAAGCCTTCTTCCTCCCCTGGCACCGCTATTTCCTGCGATTAGTGGAGCACGAGTTGCAGTCAATGTCATCATGCAAATTGGCAATTCCATATTTCGAATGGACTGTGGACTCTGGGTCAATGAAGTCTTCAGCTGCCTGGCAGGCTGGTTTCTTTGGAGGAGATGGTGAGCCTGGCTCAGGCTGCGTTCCACATCACCCTTTCCAGGGTGTAACATCACATTTCCACTGGTCTCCTTGTCTTAGACGAAGATTCAACTCCTCGGTTTGTCATACAGTTTTGATTCATTTAACAGCCTACCTCATTGTACTTTCTGTACTTTGCAGTGTTTTGAGATTTATTACTGGTAGAAGGTTTGTATGTAATTGATTTTTGCTGCTCTCTTTAGGTGTTGCTGCCAAATGCAGTGAGCCTGCAGAGGACTGTAAACCAGGGAGATTTCCAGTTGTTCTCCCAATCTCTGCAAACCTTTTCTGGCCTCTTTAGACTTTGGGTAGGGGGTGACATGGCTTCACCTCTGGCTGCTTATGACCCTTTATACCTGTCACACATGGCATTCATGGACAAGCTGTGGGCACAGTGGCAAGAGAAACATCAGCATGCATCAAAAAGACAAAATAATGGAGATGAACATGGTCAGAGCTTCATCCTCTACCCTGCCAGACAGAGGCATGTGAAGATGGAGCCTTTAGATGTCACCCCTAATGATGTGATTTCTTCTCAGCAGCAGATGTGTGTTGTATATGTGCCCATAACCATTGGCGCACCTTGTAATATGACGATATTGCAAAAACACCCACAAGGAAGTCGAAAATCTCAGAAGATTAAATTCGCGAAGCGCAAGTCACGCTATAGTGGTTTTGTTAGTGGAGCTTTCGACAACAGTGGTTACAACCAGCACGGATATGACCGTGACGGCTATGACCGAAATGGTTGGGACAGGTGCGGCTATGGCAAAGATGGCTTTAACCGAGACTTCATTGATAGGGATGGATATGACATATCTGGTTTCAACCGCTATGGGTTCAACCGTTACAATGTCACCTGGTTTGGCATGCACAGGGATGGGGTGTTTGAGAAAAAAAAGAAGAAGGAGCGTTATGGAGAGGAGGACAATGATGAAAAGACACAAGATAAAGAAAAGATAATGTCTGAGCTCTTCAGTGACAAAGGCTACAGTATCTATGGGTTTGACCAATTCGGCTTGGATCGTGGCGGGTTTGATGCATTTGGTTTTCGAACAGATGGTTATGACAAGGACAGTTGCAACTGGTTCTTCAATGGACCGCACTACCTGCGCTTCTACTTCCACACGCAGCAACAATTGATGTCATCCAGTGACCAAGCTCTAAACCGCATCACTCGCACCTGCCCTCCCATCACCTCCCTTCCCACACACTGGGCCGCACAGGACTGGATGATTTTTGAGCCAAACAACAGCAGTGCTGTGAACGGTCAACCTGAGCAGGACTGGGTGGGACAAAATAAGCCAGAAACAGATGACACTGTTATGGCAGCTAAACAAATTGAGAACAACATATGGCTTCCAATCACACCTGATCACAGGTATCAGCATCACAAAAACAAAAAGCGACAGTAGCCATGCAAAGCCAGACCAAAATTTGTTGATTGATGCTCATTATGGTTTGACATGGCCCAGTAGGTATTGATTAATGGCAGGTCCTCAACATGACCCCTCCCTACACCCAATTGGACAAACACAGCATTTGCTGGTCTGTTATCATCAATTTTAAATTTCTATGCACTTATATCAGTTTCAGTTTGAGATGAAAACAAGGCCATGTAGTTGCAGATCAATACCTGACTTTACACCTGAGTTAAACAGTTGTTTTCAAGATGCAACGTTTCCAGATTCAGTGAGTCACAACTACTGTGCTCAAGCAAATCATATTTGAAGTTTTTGAAACTACTAAATTATGGTGAGATATTCCAGCTGGCTTTACAAGGCTAATATTAAAATAACCATATTTGAAATAGCAAATCTTTTCAAAATCTTTTTTTTGGTATTTCAACCAATGTTGTGATCCCCTTTCCCTCGAAACACTGTCTGTAGGTTTTGTTTCAAGCTCCACTGGTTCAGCGGCTGTCCCCTTGGCTCTGCTCCTATCACCTGCCCTGACCTCTGCCATCAGGCCCGCTGCCATGGTTACCCCGAGGCTGTCTGCCATATGCGCAGTTGTGGTTCTTGTTTCACAGAGTGGCGGGATCCAGCAACTGGAAACCATGTAATATGCCATGGCTGGTGAATACTAAACTGTCAGCCAGAAAAACAAATGAAGGATTAAAGTACTTTTCACAGCATTTAAGATGAGGATGGACCAACATTGTCTCTGTGAGCTCGGAGAAACAGAAGGCTCTTCATGAGAAGGAAAGCCGTTGAAAGGGACTGATACTGGAATAAAATATGACAAAGACTTCATTAGCAATATGAAAATACTGTAGTATGATATGCTTAACCTCATTCCAGGAATATGCATTTATACCACCACAATGTGACATTAACTCTGTATGGGTTACTTTATCTCCTATATGTATGGTGTTAAAGTGTTCACCCAACATAAAAAAAACATCTTCTCTCTCTCATACCTCTAGTGGTATCTAGCAACATGCATTTTCAGTTACAAATGTCTACCTTAGCCTGGTTGAGTCACACACTACAGTGTCATAAGATTTTCTTCAGCTCATAGTAGAGCGATGAAAACTGTTCTAGATTAATGAGTATTGTTTTTTTGAAAGAGATATTGCTGTTGACATTTTAAATGCAATTTTTCGACACTGACCAGCTCTCACAAAGTTCCAATAACAGCGAATGTGTTATAGAGAGGAGGCATAAATCTCAAAACCAAACTTTTCTGCTGAACTAGATACCAATAGACGTAAGTAATACAACTATAAAGCTGCACTAATCAGTGTTTTGTATTAATGATGGATCAAATGAATAGCCTACATGTAATGTAGAGGGTGTAGGCTAGGAGCTCTGTGGAGGGATTTTAGTGTCTTTCAGCTCACTGTTTTGGTTTTACTGTTTAAGGTTTCCTAGCACCCTCCATTTTTATCTGCAGCAGATAGATGTGTTCAGAGAAAACCTTCTAAAGAAACTGTGTACGCTACCTGCCTGGGACCAAACTACAAACAAAGTTAGCAGCTATTTGTGGACATAGTGGAGCATTTAGCTGCAGGAGTAGCTCAAAACAGTGTTAAAAAGAATGACTATTGGATTTAATGTTTGGTGGTCAGACACAAGACTCCAAATGATTGCCCATGCTGCTCAAAAATGCTGAATGTGTAAATAGGAGACTCTTTGAAAATATGTTCACCATATCGACTGTATGAGATGACAGTTTGTCAATGTTGTCTTCACAGTTTGTTGTCCTTCCCCCAAGTGTCCAAAAGCCAGTTAATGCTTGTTTAATGGACCCTACTGGTAGTTTTATTATATGTACTGTATTACCACCATTTGCCAAAGTTTTCTAGTTGTTGCATTTGAGGAATTTCTACATCCTTCGGTCATAGTAAATTGAAACAAACGTGGGAATAATATTGATGTTGAACTGGCCTCATTAAGGATCTATTTGTCTTTCTTTAACTTTCTAAGTCCACTCCCCACTCCCACAAAGTCATGGCAACTTTGTTCTCTCCTTTTTATTGTGCAAATTTTCACCATCAGTGTAATACACATGTGCCCCAGGAGTACACTGTCTCCTCTCTCCACCCCCCCAAGACTACTCTCTCTGTCACTGTCTCTGTCTTTTCATCCATCTCTCCCGTAATTGTTCCTGCATGTAGGCCAGAAAACTCCAGTGGCACCAAGTCGATATACAGTCGCAGACTCACACTCTCAACACACACTTTGATCTCATGCATGCTTGGCGTGCTAGAGGAAATGCCTGTTGGCTGCTGGCACAGTAGGCAGCCTCACTGGCCTCCCTCTCACTCTGTGATTATTGCCCTCTCTCACACACAAACACATTGTCTCTGTCCTTTGGAGAGTCATCATTAAAATAATTATCTGCCGAAATGTCCAAGCTAAGCAAAAATACTATTTGATGAGCGCCCTCAAAGTCTTTGATGTGACATTGCTCTTCAGTGTTCCTTATATGCTGTAATGTAAACAACTTTTTTCCCAGTAAAATAACATGAACAGCCACATAATAGGGGGAAGTTGTTAGGGCCATCCCCCAAGAGGGAAGCCTCAAGAAAACTGCTACCTCTTCCAGTTTTCTTCTCCCTGTTTCTCCTACAGTATATCTTTTTCAGCTTTAATAGACTAACTGTAAGGCTACATGCACTTCTGGTTATGGTTACAGACCATAAAACAGTGTGTAAGAGCGAGCATGTGTATGTTGCATCAGAACAATTCTGTTCTGTCATGACTGGAGAGACAGCAGAGCCAGATGTTCCACAGTGACCTAGAGAAAAAGGTGAAGAAAATCTGTATTGGCAGACGGAGAAGGTGGAGAGCAACTGTAATGATCCAAACTTATTTCCACACTCTTTTATTGATTAAACTATAAGTATATACTCCTATGTTATTACTTGGGATATGCAGATGCACACACAGAAGCTTTAAAATGTGTATGTACTAAATATTTTGTCTCATCTTCAGGGTGTGATCTGGATGGCACAGTTCATAATGTGTCCTACAGCCCTCTAGATGGCTGTCAGACATGTACGTGTAAGGTAAGTATTTGACACCAACACACACACACACACTGTTTTTTTTCTGTTTGTCCTTTTCTCTCACCTCTGTTTCTCTCCTTCGACTCGGCCTCAGGGTGGTAACAGGGAGTGCTCTCCCCTGCCCTGCCCATCACTGGACTGCACACAGAAGGAGACTGTACCTGGAGACTGCTGCCAGCAATGCAAAAGTATGGACACAGAAAAAATATGCTCACAACAATAATTATGAGAGAAATAACTCTAAAGCAAACATTAAATGTCTCTTACTACATCACTTAGATATAATTAGGTTCAATTAATTGATGCAGTGACATGAAAAATAGCAAAACATGCTTGCACTGGCTGCACATTCTTAGATATTCAGAATGTTACTATTGTGCATGTATACTCTCTTCTTCATCATGTAGTCTCGTCTTTGATAGTCTCTCCCCAGTAGGTCTTTATCAATTACACAAAAGTTTTTTGTTTTTTTTTTCAAACAAATTTATTTGCTTCAATTGAAACCCCTTTCACTAAATATGGTACCTACCAAAACTGAAAATTCTTCTTTGGAATACATCCAAACACCGCACTGAGGTCAAGGTTTATCAGGGTTGTTCCAAAGTTATATTTGCCTCACTGTCTCACAAAGGTTTTAAGAAAAAGTCAAAAATTATAAGATCTTATCATACAGCATTAGATTGGTTGAACATTTTAAAATACCTGTATCAGGAAATGGTACCTTTGTCTAAGCTGATTGATTGATCCCTTTGATCCCTACAAAGACAGGCATTTTTTTCCAATGTGTTCTGGTGTTTAATTAACTTTTAAGGTTTCAACTGTCAATTGCACCATAACAGTAAACTTATCTGATGTAACGTGTGCTTGCAGGTTGCATCCATTCTGGTGTCCCATATAACCACGGAGCCATGTGGAGACCGGAGGAGAGTCCCTGTGATGTCTGCCACTGTTTGGTGGGGCTGATACGAATTATCTGCTTAGGTTTTCATCTTTTCTATCACCTTCATTTCTACTGATACTTATCTGTCTTCTCTCCAGGAGGGTCATGTTCACTGTGAGAGGGAGCAGTGCCACACCCCTTGTAAAAACCCAGCTTCTCCACCACCCGATTCCTGCTGTCCAGTTTGTCAAGGTGGGTGTCTTTCGTTTACTGAAGCAGTGTGAGTGTTCAATGGACTGCAGATAAACAGTGTGTGCTCATGTGTGTCTTGTAGGCTGTGGTATGAATGGTCATGACTTCCCTAATGGAGCTGTGATTCCTACTGGAGACCGTTGTGAAGATTGCGCATGCGTGGTACGTCTGACGAAAGTGATTAAATTACATTTTATCATACTTCAGTTATGAATCATTTTACTTTGAAGTATATCTGTGCTCTTGTTCTACCAGAATGGAAATGTGGTGTGTTCACCCCTTCCCTGTCCTGCTCTGTTTTGTCGAAACCCTGTGCATCGTGCTGGAGACTGTTGCCCACGGTAACAAACCTGCCTAACCTCATCCATATCACTTTCAAGCCTGCATCAATCCTTTTCTCAGCTTTGACTTTGAATGTGGTGGTGCATATGAAAGCATTTTATCACTCAAAATGTTTACGTTGTGTGTGTTACCTGTAGGTGTGAGCAGTGTGAATATGAGTCCAAGGTGTATGTGGATGGACAGAAGTTCCCCTCCAGGTCAGACCCCTGCCTCCGCTGCCGCTGCTCTGTGAGTACAGTCTGGCAAAGCTGTGTTCTGTGGTTATGTGAACTTCATGTGACTGGACTTGGTGAGGTTTCAGGACACAGGTGTACAAAGAAAACCTGTCAGAAAGTTTTTATACTTTCAGAAACAAATGTAATTGAAATTGAAAATGGGATTAAGTGGGAAAATTAGTCTGTTTTTAAAGTCCTGAAAAATCCTTGGGCTTATTATCTGACAATAGGTGTTTGTTCTATCAGTGTGACACATTTAACCCCTACTTGTCTCTCTCTGTTAGGCAGGTGAAGTGTCTTGTGAGCGTATGGATGCATCATGTCCCACACTACGCTGTAGTCATCCAGCTAAACGCAAGGGGGAGTGTTGTTCCACATGTGATGGTCAGTGTATCTGTAAATTTGTTAAATAAATAAGTAAATAACTAAAACTAAATAATAATAATAATGATAATATGTCCTATTTGTCAAAATTGTTTTGCCTACTGCATGCTCTTTTCCAATTTGACTTTTACTGCTCAAGCTCTAGCAAACATATTCAGGTTGTGTGTTCCTGCAGCATGTGAGTATGACAGGAGGGTGTATACTGATGGAAAAGTGTTCAACCCTGCTGGCAGTGGACCCTGTCTACAGTGCAGGTGCAAGGTAAGTCCATACAGTACACTCAAAAGAAAGCATTGAAACTTAGAAAAAAATTAGCAAAGTAATACTTTGTTTTCATGTCTTTTATTTGTGTCTATTTGTGTCTGTTTTTTTTTTGGTTTTTTTTACTTTCTCTTTTGCATGAAAGCATAGTATGTTTCTTTTCACAGCAGCAAATGGGCATGGCCATAATTTCTTTCATGTCATGTCTGTCTTCTCTTTTAAACATACCCTATTTATATTACATGCATATTGTGTTTTCATTTCAGGGTGGGAATGTGATTTGCCGTGAAGAGAAGTGCCGTGCTGCTCAGTGCTCTAACCCTATTATAGACCCACATCTCTGCTGTCCAATCTGCAAAAGTAATAATTCACACACACACACACATACACACACAGGTTCATCTCATCCATGAATATATGACAACTCCCCTTTTCCTCATTGTAGCATGTGTGTTGGAGGGGGTGGAATATGAAGAAGGCTCCAGCTGGCACCTTGAGAACCCCTGCTCCAGCTGCACATGTGTGAATGGAGACACCATGTGTACACACACATACTGCCCCCCCATTGAGTGCCTGCATCCCACCAAGACCACTGGTAAGACTGTGTGTGTCTGAGCTTTGTTTATATGCAGATGACTGTGCAATCTTAGTACACCGTCTCTTTCCTTTCCTCAGGATCCTGTTGTGCAGCGTGTGAAAGCTGCACTTATAATCATCGTATCTATGGCAACAGCCAGAGGTTTACAACCCCTGACCAGCCCTGCCACATCTGCACCTGTCAGGTGAGCATGTCTCTATTCACAAACACTGTTCAACTTCGAACCTGCTGACAAGTCTTCCCTTCTCCTCAGCACGGCACCGTGGAGTGTGAGAGAAGACCCTGTCCTCCACTCAACTGCACCAACTCATACACACCACATGGAGAGTGCTGCCCTAGATGTCCAGGTACACAAACTCATGACATGATTGCAGTTCATGTTGTACATTTATCTGCTAATTACCCTATTTATGTTAATTATTCTCAGACAACTCAGTAAAACCTTTGTGTATTTCAATCTTTTTCCAGACTGCTCCTTTGAAAACCGTGTGTTTGTGGATGGAGAGGCTTTTCCCAATCCTGTCAGTGCGTGTGAGGAGTGTAAGTGTGTGAGCGGCAGGATTGAGTGCCACCAAGCACAATGCCCTCATCCTCGCTGTAATGCACCTCGACCTGGAACATGCTGTCAGAACAACTGCAATGGTGAGGCGATATGACTTTATTATCAGGAACATAAATACATTTCACAAATTAAAATCTCACAATTTCACTATATTCCCCTACATCAGGCTGCAGCTATGCTGGGAAAGAGTATCCCAATGGACTAGAGTTTCCCCATCCCACTGACACATGCAGGACATGCAGCTGCATAGTGAGAGGAATAATGAGCATCACATCATGACTGTTGATCACACGTGGTCGTCCTGAAGCAGGTTTTCATTTCAGTCTGTGATATGTTTGTTACAGAATGGGAATGTCCAGTGTTTGATGAAGAGGTGCCCACCACTGCCATGCTCCAACCCAAATGTGCTGCCAGGAGACTGCTGCCCCCAGTGTCCTGGTAAGGCCCAAGTGAAGGGGCAAAGATATTTGGAGGAGTGAATGACACAGGTGCAAGTTTCTGGGCAGGTATTGCTGCTCTGAAAGCCACAGGAGGTTAGTGAATAGTGTGGCCTGTTGACTTGGCCTGCTTATCAGTATGGTCAGCAGCTGGAGGTGTAGCGGTTGCTGTTGAACACAGTTCATGGAGGCAGTTAAACACACGGACTAGACACACATATTTATAGATCGAGTGTGACTTACGTCCATAATCCACTTTAGGTCTTTAGAAACCACAGCAAAAATAGCTAAAAAACTAGCTAAAAAATCCTTGTAACTCCAGAATCAGTCCACCAAATTATGTTTTTTACACTTTGTTTCACGTTTTTAGTGAACTATTTCAAAAGTAACAAAATGATTTGGATGATTTTTTATGGACTGATTGGTCCATAATAAATCAGTGAATCCTTGAATTAGATTTTGAAAACAAGTATGGGGAATTTTAGAGAAGTGGAAAATTATTTAGCAATGGTGAGGGTTTATCATTACTATCATTCTTGAGATGCCTTTTTTTATTTCAGGTTATATTTTTATTGGTATTTTATCACTATGGATGGCTTCACATGACCTTCATCTTATTCTTATTTTTAAAACAGAAATCTTAACAGAACATAATGAAAATCCCTGCCATGAAAGATACTATACTATACTTCCTAATTTCATTGGCTGGGTGCCCCTTCTGTGGCTAACATGATCTGCTGTTTTCTTCGTGTCTTGGCTCATAATCAGACACAAAATGGATTATGAAGTTGTAGAGTGAAGGCATACTGTTGATTCTTTTCACTGATGTTCCTTCAGCTCCTCCATCGGACTGTGTGTATGAACAACGACCCTACAGACACACTGAGCGTTTTTACCACCCGACTGACAACTGTCGATTGTGTGGCTGCTCCAACGGGACAGTTAACTGTCAGCGCAAGCCCTGCACCTTCGCTGCGTGTTCTCACCCCATCACACAAGAGTGCTGCCGGACCTGCGAAGGTAGTTCACAAGTTCACAAGTCCTGCCAGGACAACTTAAAGACAAAGCAGTTTTGATTTTTTGATACAGTTCTCCATCCACGTAAGAGACTGCACATTTAGTCTCAACATGTGTCTATATTTTATTCCCTCTTGCAGGCTGTTTATATGACGGTCGAGAGCGAGCTAATGGGGAGACGTGGGGTGACGTGTCAGACCCATGTGCCATGTGTGTGTGTCGTGAGGGCTCTGTCCAGTGTGAGAGGAAGCGCTGTCCACCCACCAACTGTAACCACCCCGTCCAGAGACAGTGCTGCATGTCCTGTGATGGTGTGCGATTGAAACACTTGACAGCAACATGTCATTCAAAAAAAATTTTTTAAAATAGTTACTGACAACCTCACTGTTTTCCCTTCATTTATCTCAAAAATATGTCAGTCTCTAATTTTCTACTTGTCAGGTTGCATGTTTCAAGGTAAAGAATATCCTGATGGCACTGAGTTTGCTGATGACAAAGACCCCTGTGGTGTGTGTTACTGTTACGGAGGCGAGGTTGTCTGCACCAAGCAACCCTGTTATGGAGATTGCAGCCATCCATATAAACCACCCCGACAATGCTGTGGAGAATGTGAACGTATGTAAAGTCAGAACAAGACTCTGCTCGCATTCCTACTTTAGGATCAACCTTTATTTGTTCATTATTTTCATGATTACAAAACGACTCAATCAACCTTTCTTAACTGGATAGGCTGTTCCTATAACAGTGAAGTCCTCACCAATGGACAGTCGATCCCTGACCCAGGGAACCCCTGCTCTGAATGTACCTGCCAGGTAGTAACAACACACACACATTCTCACACACACACACACACACATATTCCTGCTGGTTAATTTCTTTAGACAACATGTCATGCCTTTTCTCTTGCAGAGCGGATCAGTGCGTTGTGCGAAGACACCGTGTGCAGCTGCTCTCTGTCCTCACCCAGTCCCCAATGCATGTGGCTGCCCTGTCTGTGATGGTGCGTAATCACTGCAAATGTAAAAGAGCAAGCATAGGTGGACTAAAGTAAATGATGAATGCTTTACTGTATGTGTAGGTTGTCAGTTCCAAGGTGTGACATATGTTGACGGACAGGTCCTTCCAGGAGGAGAGAGAGGGTGCCAGGACTGCACCTGCTCAGTGAGTGAGACAGTCATTTAACTTTTTGGTCACTGCACCATCAAAGCTACTGTACATCCTACCTTTTATTTCCACAGAGAGGTGCGGTGGTGTGTGCGCAGAGAAGATGCCCTGCTGTGTCATGCCCACACCCAGCTCTGGACGGCTGTGCATGTGGAGTGTGTGATGGATGCAGCTTTAATGGACGAGACTGTTTTAACGGAGAGCGATTCCCACACCCGACAGACCACTGTCAGCTCTGCTCCTGTCTGGTACAACACAAAATATATATATATATATATGTATTTTTAAATTCACAATACTCTGTCCTACTCTGAAAGACAATCAGAATTACAAGTTGTTTGGAAACCCAAACAAACAGAGTGGTCTAATTACCTACAAGTGTCAGGTGTCAAGGTGGCTATAAAAAGTTTGTAGCTTGCCTCTTTAGATGGCAGCAGTGACTGTTTACTGTTTAAAGACATTAAAATAAAAGTCTTAACTACAGCTCTGCAGCAAACATAAATGTGTCAGCGTGTTCCAGAAGATCCTCGCTTTGCCAATCAATTGCTAAATATGATACTTCCAGTGGAGCTTCAGACACACAAAAACACGACATAGTGAGTTGTAGAGATACTCAAATGGGATATTTTTGGTGTAGTATTCTTTTAATCCCACAACCCTGACCCTGTGAAGACACTACAACAAATGTGATTTCCTTTTTGTACTTTGTGCATGAATAAACCTGGCTACCACTCTGTCATCCATTCGTCCTCAGTTGTACCAGGATTACTCAGTGACATTCACAGGGTCTAAATGTGTGTCTTTGCGTATAGAACGGTGGTGTGGTGTGTGCACATGCATCTTGTCCAGGCGTTGCCTGTGTGCGCCCAGTGACCCCTCCAGGGGAGTGCTGCCCTTTGTGCACGGGCATCTGTCTGCATCAGGGAAAAGAGTATCAGTCCGGCTCTACTTTCTCTTCACCCTCGGATCCCTGCTCCTCATGTTCCTGTCTGGTTAGTCTGTCTTACTGAGTGAAACATAAACCATCTGATTGTTTCAATGATGAAAACAAATTGATTATTCTCTCTATCCACCTTGTCCCTTCATCCCCTCCTCTGATCAGAATGAGGTGGTTAACTGTCAGAAGAGACCTTGTCCAGTCCAGTGCTCCCATCCAGTCCCTTCAGGAACCTGCTGCCCAGTCTGTGACTCCTGTCTGTACGAGGGCGTCGTGCACTCCCACAGTCACACCTTCACGCCTTCCTCTAACCCCTGCCAACGCTGCACATGTGTCAGAGGCACTGTCACCTGCGTGCCACTTGTCTGCCCGCCAACACCCTGTGCTCAACCTATTACCAAGCCAGGACAGTGCTGTCCTGAGTGCACAGGTATTTGAACTGTTTGTGTAAATGCTATGTGAAGGCTTACATGTTTATACTGATTCCTCTAATGTATTTTACACAGAAATGTGCACATTCCTGGTTTCAATATTTCATGTAAATTCACATGATCTGCATTAGAATATTAGTCATGTACTTTCAGTCTTTGATTTGTACACTGTCAAATAGAAAAATGCCAAGTGTACTTACAACAAAAGATTGTACTTAAAATGAAACTATACAATTATATAATTATGAAAGAAATTTGCTGAATTTAATTATTGTGCTGACCTCAAGAGAAATTAAATTCAAGAAGAGAAATATTATGTTTTAACTTTTAGTCCACGTCTCTTCTGTTCAGAGAAAAAATGAAAGTACCATAATTCAAGATATCAAAAGAATACAGGAAGTGATTATCTGCAAGATTTTCTTATTCTTGATACATGTGTTTCTTTGTCTTGTACCTTTTTCTTTTTTTCTAATCCTGCCATTCAACTTTAAAAAACCCCTTCAAATCATTTATGAGAAAAGCTATTTTAATTTCAAGCACCTGGTCACAAAAATTACAAAGACAAAACTGATTTGGAGCATGCCATTTTTCTCCCGCTATAAAATAATGTAGGAAATCACTTCACTTTTTTCCTCATCTCTGTCTCTCTGTCTCTCATCTGTCTCTGGTCTCAGTGTGCATGCTGGATGGACAGGAGTTCACTGATGCGCAGACATGGACCCCGAGTTCAAATCGCTGCTCGTCCTGCACCTGCCAGGTCAGCCTTCTACTGTAAATCTCTTTGTTTTCCCTCCATATTTGCAGCCTTCCTTGTGTTTAAGTGCTGATCTGTCCGAGTCTTGCAGGCAGGTGAGGTGCGGTGTACGTCCCCCGAGTGTCCCAAGCTGCCATGTATGCATGTGGTGACTGATCCAGGAGCCTGCTGTCCTCGCTGTAGAGGTAAATACTGTATATCACTAAAAGTTTTACCCGCAGGAGGAAATAGTTGTGCCAGTGACTGCGTTTTCCTTCTCAGGTTGTGTGTATGGAGGAGAGGAGCATACAGAGGGCAGCAGCTGGTTTGCAGACTCCACTCCCTGTATGACTTGTATGTGTGTGGACGGGGTGACCACCTGCTCTGAGGTACACTGTCTATCTCCCTGTATCAGCTTCATCAGCGTGCCTGGGGAGTGCTGCCCTGTGTGTGCTGGTAAGAAAATAAAGATCTAAAGCATATTAGCTGCATGTTTCATCATTAGGATTTTTTTAAATATAATCTTACATGATGTTTTTAAATAGACTGTGTATTTGAGGGCAGAGTTTACGGCCCAGGGGACAGTTTCCATCCAGCCGATGACCCCTGTCAGATCTGCACTTGTGAGGTATGAAGCATATACACCTGAAACCTGGAAACCTGATTGCAATAGTTCTATGTTTAACTTGTTGATTTAGTGGAAGTTTGAAGCATTCAGTTTCCAATGATATGATTGCATCATCGCATTTGTGAACCAGACAATTTTTTATTTAATAAATGCTTAAGAAAATAAATAGATTATTGAAATTGTTTTCTGGTAATTTTTTTTGCAGTTATAGAAATAGAAGTAATAGTAGTAGTTATAATCAAACCTGTCTGTATCTCAGGTGATGCCGGATGGAGAACAACACCTGAGGTGTTACCGAAAGCAGTGTCCCAGTCTGGTCGACTGTCCTAAAAGCAACATCTTGTTCTCTGGACCAGACTCCTGCTGTCCCGTCTGTGCACGTCGGTATTAAAGTGCATTTCATGATATACTGCATATTATTTTGCTGTGCACTATTACTGAGCTCTGCAATATTTTGTGTGCGTGTGTCTTTAGAGCCTCTCAGTAACTGCACCTCTGCACTGATTGGCAACGAGGTGTTGGCCACAGATGACCCCTGTTTTACCTGCCACTGCCAGGTAACACAGCGACGAGCCTCCTTTTGAGACAGTCTTTCTTTTGCATAGAAGCGAAGGAAAGTCTCTTAAACAGAGTGAATTGAGTGAGAGAGTTTTAGTTTGACATCTCAGCATTTTGACATCTAATTGTCGAGTTGTTGGTACCAGTCAAACTACTATCAATATACTATTATGGGATTCTGTGCAGTATGTTGATACTGTGTCTGTGTCTGTGAATTAGGACTTGACGTGGACCTGCCTACACCGTGTGTGCCTCCCACTTTCTTGTCCTCTTGATGAACAGTTCATGCCTCCAGACTCATGCTGCCCTGTGTGTAAAGGTGAGATAAAACTATATTTCTTCCTATTTGTCTGTTCCCTGGGCCTTTAAATTGTAAGTCATTGTCATTAAAACATCCACTACTGTGCGGGTTTTCCTGTGTTTTATGCAGTGTGTGTGATTGAGGGCCAGACCCGAGTTGCCAATGGCAGCAACTGGACAGACAGCGATGACGACTGCGTAACATGTGCCTGTAATGTGAGTCGGACAGATATACTTACATTCTTCATTCATTCCTCATTCGAAACAGCATTTGCTTTACCAGATAATATGGTATAATGAACATTAATACTGGGGAATCAAAGAATACATCAATCTAAGAAAAACAACAAGCAAAAGCCCTTACAAAGAGACTTGCATGGTGATTACCAAGAACATATTTATCCAAGTCTGTCATTACTGTATCTGTTTGAATTTATCATGTGCTGTGATTTTTTCCCCCCCTCCAACACCAGAGTAAAAAGTAAAATAGTTGCACATCTGACCTTTTCAAGGCCGACATAAAGGAAGGACTTGATTCTGGGATTGTTGAAAGGTCTGATGACTATTTACACCATCTACCTCTAAAGCCCTCTCTTCTTTCTGTATGCATCCGTAGTCGGGCCACATTGAATGCAGCATTGAAGAGTGTTTACCTGCGGTTTGTCCAGCTGGCCAGAAACCAGTGAAGATTCCAGGAAAATGTTGCTCTGAATGCCAAGGTATCATTGGCAGTCAATACAGTGACCATCCCCAACTATTGTGTGTGCTTAAACTTCTGCCTAACACGTTGCATGTATGTGTGTGTCTTTCTTATGTGTGTGCGCGCTTGTGTGTGTGTGGGTGTGTCTATGCGTGTGTGTGCGTACATGTGTGCTGTAGACTCAGGAGTGTCATGTTTGCACCAGGGGACAGTGTATCACTGTAATGAACAGTGGGAGGTGGATGAGTGCACCAGCTGTACGTGTGTGTCTGGAGATGTACACTGCCGTAGTGAACGCTGCCCTCCCCTCACCTGTGCAACAGTCAGTGTAACAAAGACACACACACACACTATTTCTCAGTGTTTCATCATAATTTAAAATGTTCCCATGATGCCTTGCTGTTCTAACCCCTCAGTCTGTAGAGAGACATTAAATATCATCAATGTTTACACTGGCTGTTTCCTCAGAGCTCATTCTGACACTGCAGACATTTATTTGATTTCCACTGAGTCTCCTGGGTCCATCATAGTTACTCAGACAGTGTAGCTGAGCCTGTGTGTGTGTGTGTGTGTGTGTGTGTGTGTGTGTGTGTGTGTGTGTGTGTGTGTGTGCGTGTGCATGTACACGCACGTGCGCACGCGTTATCAGGATGAGATGCCAGCCGTTGTCCCAGGCTTGTGTTGTCCTCATTGCCTTCCTCGTCCAGCCACCTGCATTGCCTTCGGCGACCCTCATTATCGCACCTTCGATGGCCGCATGCTGCACTTCCAGGGAGCATGCACGTATGTCCTGGCACAGGACTGTGAACAGGGAGACTTCAGGTGAGAGAGTCACCATGGTTACCCGAGCAATTGGAAGTAGACGTTGCTTCATTTTAAAGGGTTTTACATGAAAATGAAGTTCATTATTTTACATGTGAAATTTCTTTATTTGTGATTTTTGTTTGAGCTCTTCTCACTGGTTTGAAGTGGGCAGGACTTTGCTGGAAAAAGGTGATCTCACATATTTACATGCACCAATCAAGATTTAGAAATATTTGAGTCAAAATGTTACCCGGCCAATGTTGATCAAATCGGATCATCATTGGAAGTTTCCAAGCCTTAAACCTGAATAAATAATAATTAAGGGTTGTGTTTTTGAACTTTAACTTTGATTATTGAATACATAGTTATACAAATTTAAAGTAAGAGAGAAATACTTTGGATTTTAAAGTTTTCAGGGGCTCTAAAAGGTCACCAAAAAGACTGACAACTACTGTCCTAGACAATCTATGCCCTCAAACTAATGAGCTTTAGCAGCAGAAAAATGGAATGAAACTGCACGTTAGTCTCAGTTTGCAGGAACATCCACTTTTCATGCTGCTTCTGTAACCTGCTGTAAAAAAAAATTAAAAAGATAAATTTCAAACAGGGAGTAACATTTTTTTAAGTCAAGTCCCTCCTCACATTAAGTCCTGCCCACAACATCCTGTTTCATGCAGAAAAACTGAAACATGTCAATCCAGTGAAGAAAATGACAAGCCTTTCAATAAAGTTTTACATTTAAGTTTTTTCATTGAATGTTAAACATGAAGCTCAAGGTCTCCTCTTTGTTTGTATAGTGTTCATGCAACTAACGATGATCGTGGACGTAAAGGAGTGTCCTGGACTAAAGAGGTGACTGTGTTCATAGAAGACGTCACAGTGCAGCTACTCCAGGATTGGATTGTGAAGGTTTGTGTGTACAAGTACCGCACATGATGTTGTGCAGTCATGTTTGTGTTTGGCATCCACTCAGCCAATTTTTTTTTTTTGACCTTCAGGTCAATGATGAAGTTGTGACTTTGCCGTTCCTCAGAGAACCGTACATCTATATTGAACGACAAAGCAACACCATCTTACTCAATACTAACATCGGCCTGAAGGTAAAGTCTTCTCTCTTTCATCTCTCCCTCTCTCTATGGATGATATGTGATTGGATATACTGTCAATTTGTCACATTTACAGACCCTTTTATCTACCTTTAGGTGCTGTGGAGTGGTCGTTCACACCTGGAAGTGAGCGTGCCAGGCTCCTATAAGGGCCACACCTGTGGTCTCTGTGGAAACTTCAACAACTACTACCAGGATGACCTCCGAATGCCCAGCGGACGACTCAGCCAGTCAGAGTCTGACTTTGGCAACAGCTGGAGGGTAAAACAAACACATTGAAGAAACAGAGAGATTCAAATAAAGGCTGTTCAATTCTTAATTGCACGTGCATCAAACAACTGTTTGTCATTTTAGGTCGCAAACAGTAGCCACTCCCTCTCATCCTGTCAACCTGGTAAGGATGTCGACCCATGTAAGGACGCAGGCTACCAGGCCAAGAAGGGGGCTAATGCTCGCTGTAAGGTCTTGAAGTCTGCCGTCTTTAAGCCCTGCCATCGTGTGGTACCTCCTGACCCATGGTATGGAGCATGCGTATATGATCTTTGTGCCTGTGGGGCCAACAGTGATGAGTGTCTGTGTGACGCACTGGAGGCCTACGCCAGTCAGTGCAGAGAGGCTGGAGTCGTCCTGCAGTGGAGGAGCCCATCTCTGTGTGGTGAGTGAAACACGCTCGTAGGTCATAAATAATCAGCCAAAGTTAGAACAGTTTTGTCAAACACAAACTGAACTACACTGCAAAATTATCATATTATACCTGTAAGTACTTGCAAAGAAATAACAGTGATAATAGTAATTGCGATCTTTTTCTCAAAGGTCTACCTGCTCCTATTGTAAACTGCTCAGTGATGTTTTACTGTGCTACACACAATCTGCAACAATTTATTCTCAAATGAAAATAAAAAACACGGTTCTGTCTTTTGAAAAAGTCATCTTATGGTTGTCAAACACCTGCTGACTCCTGACTCACCAGTAAAGGTCATCAGAAGTAACCTTTAAGCCATTGTGGGTCACAATGTCTCTCTCATTGTGTTTTTTTTTTCTGTGGCTGTCTTTCACAGCTGTGGGCTGTCCAGTGGAGAGGGGCTTTGTGTTTGACGAGTGTGGTCCCCCGTGTCCCGTAACCTGCTTTAACGTTGACGTACCACTGGGGGTGATAGAAAGCCACTGCTTCAAACCCTGTGTCCCAGGCTGCCAGTGTCCTGCTGGTCTGGTTCTACACAACAACTACTGCATACAGCCCGAAAAGTGCCCCAAGATCATTCATGGCAACCACACATGATCCTTGAGCTGCTCGCTTTCAGAAGTGCACTTAATTTGTATGCACACACATGCACTGCCACCTCTGATGATCTGCAATCCACACAAGGTCTGCATCAGCCTTTTGTTACTGTATACTGAAGTCTGAAATGGAAAAATATACCTGCTGGTGAACCTGTGGATTCTGCACATTGACTAAAGTGAAATACTGCATTTCTTTGTTTATATAAACATTTTCATATATGAATATGTAGCACTGAATATTTATACTACAGAAGGGTTTGTCATGTTATTTATACATGTCACATGTTAATTGGTGTTTTTCCTAACAGTTTTACACATTTACCAAATATTAAATTGTTTTAGTTTTATAGTCTTATTTACAGTCAAAAGAGCTTTTGTTCACTGTACAGGTTTATTTCAGCACTGTGCAATATTGACTGTATAGCTCAGGTATTCTTTTTTTTTTCTTCGTTTTAAGAATAAACAGTTTTCACTAATATTTCTTGTGCTTCATTTTCTGTTCAATGACAGAGATCAAAGTCATTATTCATCAATACATGAAGATGACCGCATGACAATTTCCTTATAATAATTCAGTTTCCTTGTGATAAATATGTGCTTTGGTGCAAATTAAATATAGGTTAAATAATGTAGACACAGCCTTCAGTTAGTATGTTTATAATTAATTATATGTAATTAACTGCTTGTGTCGCCAAGAGGGCGCAGTGCACAGCAGGTGAACGTGCAATAAGTGAAATAAGCCTATAATTGAATCTATATGGAGAGTAAAGTTTTCATGAATAAATAAACAATGGATATTGGAATGGAATATTTACTTTAGGTTTAATGTAGTTAAGTTCTTTCAGGGAAATTCATCTCAGTAAATAACTGCTTATGAACTCATTACAGACGATTACAGAAAGCAATTTGATGGGCTGGGATCCACCAGCTTTCACTGGTAGTTCAATGTTACAGAGAATATTTCACACAGGTGTAATGTGTCACATGGTCGTATCGCATTTCACTCTCCCTCTGACAGATACACTGTCACTTTTTGTTGCTTGGTAACCTGATCCAGTTGTTGTCCAGAAGACTGCTGTAACCATAGTAATCACCTGTATAATTTATCAGCCCACAGTGGTGAAAACATGGAGCAGGTAAGATGCTTTGATATCATGTGAAAACTATATTTGTTTTCCATGTGTACGTGTAAAATATAGCTAATGTCCTTGTGTTTTCCTTTCAGGGTTGTGTCGCTGGTCTGTACCAGTCTCTGGGTATGTCTGTCGGAGCAGAGTTTTCCTCTGAAGATGTGAGTCTCCTCTTCCGCAAAGTGTTTCACAGTCCCTCCAGCACTGATGAAGCACACGGTGCTATGAAGAAGGTAACAACTCAGACAACAAACATCACTATTACAGCAGCTATCATCATCATTTGTCATAATGGAACAGTCTTATGTACCTGTGTCTGTTTCAGATTGCAGGAGGTGACAACAGCTGGTCCTGTGTTGGTGAAAACGTTTTTGACGTTCTCTTAGAAATGGAAAGGGAGAGGGAAAAGAAGGAAAAGGTACAATTAAATGTTCATTTTCTGAATGAATATTACCAGAATATTATGTTTTCACAACTTGGAGTTAATATATTGTTACCTTCAGATGTACTGGGACCTCCAGCTGCTAAATGTTGGAAATCTCAACTCTCCCTATGTGATGGACAAGCCAGTGATCATCGATCCTCAGGTGCTGAATTGCCTGCACCAAAGCACAGACCCAAATTCCTTCAAAAGGGCTTACAACTCAGATACAGGATCCTTACACCCGTGCACAATTGACGCAGACAGTTTACAGGTATGCGTTTTGCAGTGTAGCAAATTTTCTCCTGCATGGTGGTAGAAGCTCTGTTCATCATCATTTCCCCTTTTTTTTCACTTTTCACACACAGACGGGAAGACTAGCGGGGAAAAATGAGCTGCATGGGAGTGTGAGGGGTGTGAAGAGGCTTAAGAAAGCAGCCAGGCAGTGCTGGATCAGGTGAGCATGTTTTGTTTAAGCTGAAAAGTTGCTAAATTCTTAGCTGCACAGACTAAACTTCAATATTTCCCTTTGGTAATGATTTAACTGTACCACAGTCCATAGGGAAACTCTCAATTTTATTTTTTACTCCACTACATTACGTTTATTACGAAGGATATGTGAGTAAAACATACAGTAAGATAAGCTCAAAATATGACGCATCACTCGAGTTAAACAGTATATACACAATTGTTAGACTCACAGATACTTAGCAACAGGTCATACCAGACCATGTAAGGCTGTAGCACCAAAACCCCTGAGTGTACTGCCGTGAGCAATGATGCAGTAAACTTTAAATTTATCTGAGGAAAAATGTGTTCTTTCCTCTGTTATTTCTACCACTAGAAACCAGTAAAAACAACTGACAACTTTATATAATGTTACAAGCCAACCCTCATACACCAAAGTGCTTGTTTACTACGGCTATGATGTTGATGCGAGTTTGTGTTTTTATCTGTTTAGATTGGCATCAGAAGGTGTGCAAAGCATACTGCACTCTCCCTGGCAGGGCCAAAGCTTAAGGGTCAAAGGTCAGGCTTGGGGCTGTGTCTCCCTGTCAGACGTCCTACTCTTGGTGGAAGTGAAGTATGATGTTATGACCCACTTGCTTTATACAGAAATGCTTCAGGAGCACCATAGTAAGGAAAAATTACTAACTGACAACACAATATAACACAGAACAAATGTCACAACTTAGATAGCATTATAGAGCTCAAATGTTATTTTCTCTTTTTCTTCTTCTTCTTCTTCTTCTTCGACCTCTTCTTTTGTTGATTCCACAGCTCCACGTGTCTGGGAAACCTTGCTGCCATGGCAACGACACAAGGAGGAAGAGGAGCTGGAGGATCTTGCAGAGGAGGCTTTGGAGTCAGGTGACATGCTGTTTTTGGCTGATCTGCCAGGAGCATTCAGGATATACAGGTAACACAGTTACAATTTAGTTTAAGATGAAATGAGCTAAATGTGCAAAATCTTTTTCACAAGCTGAAATATACTGAATCTTCTCAAACTGAAGAAAAAAGTACTTGATTTTTGATCACCAAACTATTGATTTTCAGTGTTCACTTCAATCCAATAGGTGTTGTTCCGAATAGAAAACTTAGGTTCAGTTATGTATAAAAACACAAATGGCCACTCAAAATCAAAATTCAAGTAAACATGACAACCCCCTCTGCAATGGTTCCATATCAAACAACAGTACAAGATTTATTTTCCTGCAGAGTCTGTCTGGGTGCATCTTTTAGAAGCTGCCCTGAGTCCAGGGAGCAGTCCTGGTCTGCCGCTTCGCTCCTGTATGAGATACACACATGTCGTCAACAAGAAAGGGACACACTGACAGTCCTGGGAGAGAGGTAAATACTTTACACACACATCAGATGAGATGTCAATCACATAAATATCCACCATATTTTCCTGTGATTCTAGCTGATATTAGTCTTATTTACCTATTGTGTAATGTTTCTCATCTCTAATGCAACATATTTTTTGTACTAGCCCAGGAATAGTTCATTTCATTAATCAGTTCATGACTCTTTTACCTTTCAGACTAGATGGGGAGAGCCTGAGACTGTTGTGTCTGTTCATCAGGATGGCAACTCTCAGAGCTCAGAGAGAAAAACTGTCCTACAGTGCTCTTCTGGCAGCAAGGCAGTCCTGGGATACATGGTGCGCAGTTCAGCACTGAAAATTAACATGTATTCACTGTCATCAGATCTAGCCTTATTCCCTTCGCACACTCAGTTTCTGCTTTTTCCTGTGTGGCACCTCATGTTTCTGTTCAGGCCACATATCAGCAGTCCATGCCGAGCAGAGCAGGCTGCTCTGTGGCTGCGTGGTGAGGAGGAAGAGCAACGAAACAAAGACTTTATTTCACTATCACTGCAGCAGGTACTGTAAATTTGATAATGAACCACCAATTCTGAAATGTGCAGTGCACCACGTCATACTGTTACTCTTAAACTATATATATTATATTCTTCAGTGAGGTAAGATGTATTTTTTTCTGGTAATGCTAGAGGCTAAAAAGTAGACAGTAGGATTATCAGCAGCAGAACAAAAAGTTTGGCTCACCCCCAGCAGGCCGTGCTGCAGTTGCTGGTGCTGACTCAGGAACAGGAGAGAAAGATCCTGGTCAATTTGGTACATGGGGTCTCCCTAGAGGATTTGCAAGGGCCAGGTTGCACAGTGCCTCCAAAAGAGGGTAAATCAATATTTTCTTCTTTTTCTGCTGCATGTTTGTCAGAACTGTTTTTCATTTGTATTCCCATATCTGTATTTCTTCTTTCCTGTTTCTTATGCAGATAGTCATAAGATAACTGTTTTAAGGAATGGCTGTATAAAAAGGCTGAGACAAATCCATGCCAGCTTGCAGACACACAATGAGACTCAAACCCCCTTAGAAGAAATGAACTCTCAGCCCCAGCCCCGCATGCAGGCCCACATATGCAGTAAACCGGCAGTGTGGTCCCAACACCAGCTGGAAGATTGTGCCTTGCTCCTCTTGACTCATTTCCTAGAGCTCCAGGAGGTCCAAGCTTCTATGGTACTTCCAGTATTGATGGACAAGGTGAGTCAAGACAACCAAAGCACCCAATCCAAAAAAAATCCACAATTATGCATGCTGTTTTAATAAAGTACAAGTGTGAAAACATTGAAGTGTGTCTGTTAGAGTGCACAGCATGTCCAAGTTCTGCGAGATGAGTATGAATCTGAACTTCAAGCGCAGCGCTACACCAACCTACTCCAACTCCTGATCTCAGATGGCCCTCTTACTTCAAGTTCTATGCTCATCCCTAATCCAAACTTGATAACACTGAATACTGAAAACAGCAGTAAGGAGCAAAAGAAAGATCAGTCCTGCAGCTCTGGAGCAGTGGAGGCCCAGGACATCGGTGCTGGGCTGGGTGGAATTGTTTCAGTCAGAGGGATGGACAAAGAAGGAAATGGAGTCCAAGCTGCTGATGTGACTGACAAACAGGATGTCTGTACAGGTATTGCAAACACAGCCAAACATAGATCACGACACTCTCACAACTACAACTACAATTTACTTAACATTCCCCCAGGTTGTGGAACAGTCATGGAGGAGATGCCCTACTTGGAGATCTTGTGTGCCTCAGCTGCAACGAGTACAAATCATCAGAGTCTCACTGTAGAAGGAGGACCCCAAGAGGAAGAAGAGGGTAGTGCAACAAGGAGCCCCCAGAATTATGAGAAACAAGGCTCTTTGATAACTCTTGCTTGGAGCAAACCACCAGCGGATGACACTGATTATGACACAGAGGCTGCAGATGGAGGCACAGGACAGAGCCAGGACAGTGAGAGCAGTTTGAGGACCATAGTCCAGCCCAGTGACATAAGCAGCACAGCTGAATACACACAGTGTGAGGAACCTTCTGGAGAAAGCCA